TTTAAGTTTGCAATCTGCCAATTCGTAATCTGACATCGTTCTGTTATAACAGTTGTTGCTGTAGATTAACTTATATCTTCATTTCCAAGTATGATCAATTAAAATTTGAACCCTGTAAGCAAAAATATAACACTGACTTTCATGGATTTCACATGACTTGAATCCCGCCAATTACCAACGCAACACCTGATGCCTGTATGCTGTGGGGTAAAGCATAATCCTTCATGGGTGATCAGCTCTTTGTAACCGTGGTGTTTATTTTTGTCAAGTTCGCTTTCTGACAAATTCCATTGCCTAATGTTGACTTAGGTGAGGAACCTATTTTGACGCCCCTCTCAGAAAATTATGCTGATAACTGATGGCCTTCTTTTTATTTTGTATATTTATTTGCTTATTTTTTGTTCGGTTTGTGTAACGTTGTTTAACAAATGTTTTTGTCATGTTGTTGCCTTGGACGTTTCTTTCTTTTGACCAAACTAGATCTTTATTTCCAAATATGGGTAATGCAAAAACAGACCAATGCAAACAGACATAAATCCCCGGGTTCCACGGAGTTCACATGACTTGAATCTCGCCAATATCCAACGAAACAGGACCTGATACTTGTAAACAGTTACGTAGACAGACCAATAGGGATTCATGTGAGGTGAACAACTCTTTGTAACTGCGGGATTTGCTTTTGTCAAGTTCGCAATCTACCCTTAAATGAAAATGATTTTGATGCGTGTATATTCCAGAGGTTGCCACGTGTAACCAATACAACACACTACTTAAGGTGCTTCGACTGGTGTTGACTTGGGTCACGATTCCAGCAACATAGCAGATATATTGTTGAAAAATAGGTTGTTGATTTAGTTTTGTGTTTTTTCTTTGTCTTAAGTGGTTTTTCTGTATGCTGTTTTCACAAATAAATTACATAGTTTCGCTGTTGGATTCATTTATTGTTGTCAGGTGTTGATAACCGTTGTTGCTTTGGACAATAGTTGCCGTACAGAAAGTTTGATCTTAATTTCGAATTATTTGTAAATTATGAACAGATCAATGCAAACAAATATAAAATCCCGGTCCCACGGACTTCACATGATATCCAACGAAACACATGCATGTTTGCAGTTACACAAACATCAATAGGGATTCATGTTGGGTGAGTAGCTCTTTGTAACCGTGGGATTTATAATTAAGTTTGCAATCTGTCATTTTATAACCTGTCGCCTTTATTTCATAACAGTTGTTGTTGTAGATAAACCTAGATCTTCATCCTATATCCAAGTATGATAAATTAAAGTGCGAACAATGCAAACAAAAATAAAACACCAGGTTCCATGGATTTCACATGACTTAAATCCTGTAAATAACCAAATACGATATGATTACTGTTTTCGGTTATACAAAGACCAACAGGGATTCATGTCGGGTGATCAGCTCTTCGTAACCTCAGGATTTATTTTTGTCAAGTTCGAAGTATGAACATTTTTATTTCCTAATATACACTTTTTTAAGGATCTTATTTTTGACGCACACCTTTCGGAACAAAAAATATGCTAATGTTTGTTTGTTTGCTGACGACCTTCATAATATTTTATTGATTTGTTTGCTTATTCTTTTGTTTCAATGTTGTTTCTCACAAACGCTTTTGTCGCTGTTGGGTTCATTTGTTATTTTCCGTTATTGACGAACGGCGATTTGTTGCTGTTGATAAACCTAGATTTCCATGTTTAATTATTAGTAAATTTAGAAAAGATCAATGCAAACAAACGGCCTCGTGGAATGCATATGACATGAATCCCACAAATATCCAACGAAGAATGACATGATACATGTATACTGTTATTGTTATACAAAGACCAATAGAGACCAATGCCAGGTGAATAACTCTTTGTAACCTCAGGATTTATCTTAAATAAGCAAACTGCCATCTTATACCTGGTGTGTATCTCTGTACATGAAAAATGAACCAGACTGACATTTGTTAATAGTTTAATGTCAAGGATGCTATGTCTATTTCAAGGTCACAGAGTAGAGGTATCTAAGAATTAAATGATATATAAAGCTATGGTACAAAGGTTTGAAGAATCCGATGTAAAGTGTTTCGGCATCAGCAAATAAATGTTGTATATTTTGTTTTATTGTTTTGGTGTTGACGTTGTTTGCATCTGTTTTTATTCGTTGTTGATGTTTGTACAGTAATTGTTTTTATTATCATATTCATATTGTTCTTGATAACAGTTGTTGCTGTGTTGAATAAAACCCCTATACTACACGAACAAATTTAATATACCAGGCTCCATAGATTCACATGACTTGAATCCCGGCAATATATCAAACTCTCCACAATAGGAATTCTTGTCGGGAGTGTAGCTCATTGTTACAGTAGAGAGTTGTTTTTGCCAAGTTCGCAATCTGCCATTTGCATTGCCAAATGTTTGGAAACGCTTTTGGTACGCCCTCTGTAAGTATCGTACCACTTATATACACGGATGTCAAGTATTTATCTTGCCACTTAAATACACAGCAATGTGAACTGGGGCTTCCTCTGTACCGCATCACTTATGTACGGGGATGTTAAAGGGATACCCTTGATCTTATGATGGTGGGCTTATAATAGATAAGCAGAAACCATATTCAAGGTCAAAGGAGTCGAATGTGCTAAACATTTGACCAGTAGTATGCTCGAATGAAGGGCCATCAAGTTATTCAAATGAATGACCTTCATCCAAATCAAGGTCACGTGTGGTGTCAAATGTGTTGATGATACTTAAACGACTTGCCAAGCATAGATGTAAATGTTAGCATACAGTTTTATTTTTGTATCATAGATTTGTAACTTCTTTAATGAACACTTAACGAATTTTAGTCACTTTTGGCTGTATTTACTGTGTAAACATATCAGTCACTCAGGAGACCTCTGGTACAAGTTCTGATATGTTATTGTCTTGACGAGGATTTTGGGGCGCTTCCTTAGCAACTTTATAGAAGTCTGTCGATTGTCCAGTATGAGTAGATGTTCTTTGCTTGTCTGGACTTGCCTAGACTTTTAATTATTGTCTGGCTTTAGCTGTCAAGTCTTCTGTTATAAAAATGTTCTGCCTGGATTCCTTCAATTTACGTTTTTGCTTGGAACATTAGATTTTTGACTTTCCAATTCCGCAAGCGACAAAAGATCCGAGCTTTACCATTCCTAACTTTACCTATAACAAGTGACCTATTAATGTAATCTTTGGTGAATGGGAATCTCAAGTCACGATTAACTAAGAGGCATATAGGGCGATATTTGTTCGGCGGCACGCTGAGATGATGAGCTACCATGTTTGTTTAAACGAATGATGCCATCTTTTCAATAACCAAAAGAGCACTGAGTGATATTTGGTCAGTAGCATGCAGGGATGACGGGTTATTAGTTTGTTCAATGCCACAGGGATCAAATATGTTAAAATCTTCGGTTTTTAAATTTAAATTTTTTTTTTTTTTTTTTTTTTTTTTTTTACATTTGCCCACTTTTAAATTTTCTTGTAATTAATAAATACCAAGTGAACGATGCAGGCCCATTGGGTATCTTCTTTAAAGTTTTACCAAATCAGCCCACCCTTTTCGGGCCCACTCTTTAAAAGGTCGGGTCATGATCAGTGTCTTCATTTCCCTATGATAATTTCAACGAAGTTTTAGTTATTACGAACTGCAAATGAAGTTCTTTCTAGAATTTCTGGATAGAAAGGAAAGTTTTGAGCAAATTTGACACTTTTGGACCTAACCCTTCGGTCCCCTTGAGGTAGGAAACTACATAATTCACAAAGGGAACTAACTGTTGAATTGGTGCAGTAGTTTTTAACGGAAGTCAAGACCGACAGACGACAGACGCCAATCCATAGACAAAATGCCATCGAAGTAGGTCACCTAAGACTTTGTCTCATGTGACCTAATAACAAAAAGAAAGACAACATATTGTGTTATATAGGAAAATCATATTTCTTTTAATTTTCTTGTCAAGTACACTTGGTTTTCTACTAGTATCATATAGTATGCAAATTACTGAAACGTACATGTACACGAATAAACAGGTAATGAAGGCATCTAGAGAAAGTGTCATAATGGCTAAGTACTAACCAGTGGTCAGTAGTGGTCAGATCACATCACAATGGTCATCAAGCATCTGACACAGTCACATGACCAAATGATATTGAAAATATTGCATGATCATGTGATTGTCAAACCGTTACGTGTGATTATCGGTTATTATGCTCTTTTAAATCCACGTACCGGTACATTATGTTACATACATTTGTGATTTAAAATGTTCAGGTGACGTCATATTGATGACAGTCTGATGACTTGGTCCTGGGTTTATAAAAGTCGCATATGATAATCTCACCCAGTACAAAAAGATGAATAAAGTCATGTGACATGGGATGTTGTCACATGACACCGACGTAAAACATACAAAAAGTGAAGGACTGAAAGGCTTGGCTAACAACTCACACACAGTACCCTATATAACCCATCAAAATCACTAGCAAAACTTTTGATTGTTATCATCTTTGAAAATAAAATAAAAAAGAATTGATTGACAAGGTAATGACAAAGGCATAAACAGCTTTTGGTATAGTAATTTCGCTCGGTCGTGCTGTCCTGTCTACAGGTAAACTAAATTAAGATAACTGTCCGACTCTGTTGACGCGTCAACGTGTGTTGAGGCTTAATGATGACCGTCCATTGACACGTCAACAATGTTGCAACGACATGATGACAGTCACTGTTGACATGTCAACAGCTGTTGCAACTCAATGGTCACAGTCTGTCACCACAATTAAACAGATATTACGAGGTTATTAACAGTAATCAGTCACTTTTCAATTAGTTACTTTCTATCTATTGGAAATATTCCTCAAACGTCCAATAGTTAAATATTGCAGTGGACACTAGGGTAAACATATATAAATAATCGCAAAAAATGTAAAAAAGTAAAAAATGGAAAAAAAATGGAAACAATGCTTTTAAAACAAACTCTGTCTTTAAAATGTTTTGACAATTATAAAATAAAATATTTCCAGCTGATTAAATGAAATGAATTTTTAAATATACTCAATCCTGAAGAAAATAATAGATTGGTCTCCCAAAGGTAAGAGGTTCTAAATACAGTCCAAAAGGTGACGAGCTACATTCACCTACCCAGGTAAACAAGATTACTTACAGGCAGGAACTAAAAATAGTCGAAAAAGAATTATCACAGCCTTGCCCCATGAGCATCTCCAAATAACAACGGTTGATTTCTGTTTGCTCACTCCTGTCATCACAATGAAAGGAATACATACAATATGGTAGTTGATTTCTGTGTGTATACCATAGGTTGTATGTACCCCTTTTTCAGTTGAAGGTTGACATTATCAGAAAATACAGTTATTTGCCTGATGTAGAAAAAAGACTGATGTGTTGTTTGGCATTCTGATGAGCTACATTGAAAGAATTGAAGCTTCTGTGTCCCATCAATTTGGCACTGTATCAGTTACGACACTAGTGACACAATCACCCATAACAGCAACAGACACCACTCAGAACCTACCATGCAGGTTATAATGTTTTTGTGACTAATAATGTTTGAACTCCTCGAGGTAATGGCTATATACTGGGAACTACCTATTAATTACATCATATAGTTTTAAAAGATAGTTCAAATTAATTCTACTGAAGCTTCAGGGAACAAAAGTTAAATATGCCTTGCTTGTCATTACAATAGTGGAACAGTATTGCTTTGGAAAAGTAGGGTAAAAATAAAATCCCAACACAAATCACTTACTTAAAATTATGAAAATACAAAATTAAATATATTTTTGGTTTTGCTTAAATCTTTCTGTATGACTTCTACCTTTGTAAAAGTTCTTGTATAGCTTATACAGAATGTTAAAAATAAAATGAGCAAATATTAAATAAGATATTAATGATCCGAGTGTCATTAAGATAACATACTAGCTTAACATCAGTGTTAATATACAGATATGACTCAATTCACATAACAAACAAGATCTACAGACACTACAATTAGTATAATAATATTTTTGGCACATAAGTTTGCAGAGAGTGATACAAATATCAAACATCAAAACATACACACAAAACAGACTTTTAACCAATAAGCATAGATGAAGTAGTCTCTACACCCCGACGACTTCACTGGCGGGTCCAGGATTTCTAAAAAGAGTGGGCCCCAACTTCAGAATTCCATCAAACCTCTTTGAGGTCCAAGGGACTACATCATACCCCTTAACTAGGGGTATGAGGTATTTTGGTAATGAATCCGCCAATGAACTCAATAGCAAGCACCCTGTTTATTGATTTGAGTGCATAAGAATTGTGATGATTTGGGGCAGACAGGAAAGATTTAACATCGAACAACATACAATTTGACCAATTTAACACTTACAAGAACACATTCGGGCTATATAGATATAAAACAATTACATTTAAACAGGAACTTTCTGAAACAAATTGATAAATAATAGCAAATGTACAATAATAGAAATGTAAATTGTGTATCAACAACTACCAGTCACATGTTTAAAACCCTCTCCACACTCATACCTCAGCTCCTGTACAAAAAGGCATTCAATGCTAAATATTGCCTGGATATATATATATTATGTCACTTCTTCAGAATTTATGTTCCACCATCGAAAAATGATATAATGCAATAATATATGAAACAAATGTTTATATAAATTATTATGCCATATTCAAGAATGATCTTTTTCATGAAATTTATATACAAAGTCACCTTACACAAATATGTATTGTGATAATGACACATTTGATTTGCATATCAGCAAATTAGAATACTTTCATGATTGTGTCAATGTTGTAATATAAGCAAGTAATATTTCAAAATTTACCCGAAATAGAACAGATGTTCTTATACAGACTTTACAAAGACATACAATGTATTCGCTATAATTGGCTCCCTGTATTAACACTCCTATCCCTCTTCCTTTTTTGGTGCAAAATTCTAATTATAAACACTTCCTAACCCGACCTTCACCTTGATCCTGGCCTTCATTGATGAATTAACTTACTATTTACACCTAAACTGCCAGTAGTCAGACTGCTGATACAGATATAATGATAAGGTTTCCTTAACACAACACAACTCCTAATCGAAACCCTTTTTTAACAGCTTAGTTTTTTTATCATAATAAAAAGCCGATTTTAGCCAATGTTTGAAATGCCATGGGTGCTAATTACGGCAAATACAGTATTCTTAATTATAGCATATGAGAACATAAAAGCGAGCTCTTGTTAGCATATTAAAGAACACATTATATTCTCATACAAATATGGCATATATAAGGACATATCTTCTTACTAGGTTACAGTTACAGTGTATATATGTATTAATATAAACATTTGATGTAAATTAGGTATATTTCAAACCTCAATGATAATGGTATAGACAGAGAGAAAAAGCGTAGTATAGAGTATTATTATTGGTCTCAGTTAAAAGTTTGATCATCTTGAAACAGACTTAACTTATATTAAAACAACCAAGAGGCCCGATGAACCTGTTCTATTCAACTCGGTGAGTATTTCAAACCCTTTAGATCAAAATGATAGTTGACCAGGTGAAGAAAAAGTCTGGCATTTAGCATGGCCTCTTTTATCAATTTGGTCCCAAGAAACCAATTTAAGTGTTGGAATCAAAGTACATGTTTGATTTGGAAAATCAGCACAAACAGTACTGAGAGGACGCACTCATTAGCCAAAATAAAGTTAATCAAAGACTCAGAATATTAAGTTATGAAGATGATTTTACCTCAGAAATGTTATTTATAAGCTAATCTTCACATGATTGCTACCTGAAATGACCCTTTTCGGCCAAGAATCAAACAACATCAGTTTAAACCTTTTTGTGGGGTTTGTTATTCAGTGATTGACATATATTTAATACATTGAAGATAGTTATTTCTGAGAATAAAATGCCGGTGTCATCTAATGACAAGCAAACCTGTGTACAATTTTTATACCTCGACTTTTTACCTATGAGATGTAATATATCTTGGACAATGTTGTACTTGACAAGAAGATTTTTTAACATTTTACTAAAAATATCAATTTCTGCTTCTATTTCATTGCCTCTTTAAAGGTATGCCCTTCATAAAAATAAATCTGAGCGCCATTTTCCTGGTGATGACATATATTAAGCTTGATTATGTTTGGCAAAGTTCTTTATTGTAAAAATGGTGATTGAGTTGGCAGATGGACAAACATTGCACCATAGCAATTATCCTTTCACTTATTGTTTCAGGTCAAGTGCTAAAATGCCAAGCATGCAAAGAATGTGTATAGAAGTTATATACGCAAAAACATTCAATAAAGTCATATTACAAGAACAAAAATATCAAATTAACAAACGGTGTAATAATTGTAGTAATACAAAATAAGTACCTGAGAGAAGCAAGAGGCGAGATAGAAATTTGGTGACAATTGCATTTACGACTCCGAGGTCAGGGTCGTTTAGAGAAACAGAATGTCACACTTTGCACCAAGCTTGGTTGTCATGATGACATTGTAAAAATATCATACTTTGTACTGAACTTGGTTGTCATGGTGAATTCATAACAAGTAGAGTTTTAAAATTAAGAGGAACCTATAATAGTAGAGATGATTGCATTTGTTGGGTGTTCTAGTTTTTCCTCTCCCGTACTTGCTGGTACAGTATTATTGTATGTACATCTACAGCTGTACATATCAATCATATGAATAACACATACCCATTTACAAGTTGGTGATATGATTAGCATAAGAATCCAATTTTAAATTGCTCGCAGGCATACAAGCAAAACACAACTGCAATACAAGGATAAATAAAAGCACCTAGTTGTATGGTTACTTATCAATGAGCCTCCTGTTTATGTTTATAATATGGCATAATCATGGTAGGATATCTTACATCTGTTTTGGAAATCAACAGGATAAAACACACCCCTGTTATTATAATGTGCTATACAGTCGAGACATCTATGAATATCACCAGGTGACATTGTATGTGAATATTAATGAACGAATATGAATGAGTGACTATTGCATAATCATAAATATGCATGAATATTTATTAGCAATGATCATGTATGAATATTCATGATGCGTCCAAACTTATATAATCATTTGGTACAAATGAAAATGAAGATATATTAGTGATTTATCATATATGAATATTCATTTATGTCCAAATGTATGTTAAATTCATATTTGGTTATATGAATATGTATGAAAATGAATATGTGATTTATCATGTATGAATATTCATGAATGTATTTGGTAATGAATGTGCATGAAAGTGCACAAAACTGGTAAGTGAAACTCAATTGTGCCCTATCTACAAGGTGAAAGTTTGTAGAATACCATCAGCAGTTTGAGTACAAATCAGCACTATTATGTTTCCAAGTTCAAGTTTTGTAGATGAATATTTCTCTCTCATTTATTTGTAGATTATCCATGTTGTATACATATAATTCTGTAGGAGCACACTTTCAAAAGGAAGTGGCTTCATATTTTAGTCTTTGGTAATTATTGAATAAAGTTTCTGCATAGACCGTCATGTAAATGAATTCTAATGGAAGGACAAAGACATTGACACTTACAGACATAATCGTTATGAACAAACACGTATGTTATATATTAATCTACACGTAGCGGTGTTACAGACACCTATCACATGACATAGTGATGTTTACATACAGTTAAATACATGATGATAAACATTTCCCCTCAGTAAAAATCAAAGTATACAGACACACCTCGACAAATCAGTTGCCGATGCAATTACTCCCGATCTGTTCTAAGATCTGCCCACAGTCATACAACACACACGTTAAGATGCTTTGCAAACAAATCCAGTAGTCAGGATGTGATACTGTTCCCAAAAAGATGAAAGACACGGCATTGGTGAATATATGGTGAAGGTGAACACAAGGTCATGACTTCGATCCTGGTCATACATAGTCCCGCATGTACGGATTCGGTCCCTCCATGGCAGTAATCACATGACCTAGTTTGGCGGGAAGTTGTTGGGCATTGGCGAAACCGTCTGCCTCCAAACTCTCATTAATCTGAATTGGAAACAACAAACAATTGAGTACACTTTACCACTTGAGTAACATCAATGGTTTCTTGATCATTGAAGTCAGGTGTCTGTAATGTCAGGTGGTGGTAAAGTCAGGTGTCAGTAGGGCCAGGTTTATTTACCTTACTGCTTTAAATTTATATTAAGCTTTCTTTATTTTGACAAATAGGAAACACTTTAAAAAGCTTATATCTATTTCTTTTGTTGGCCCTGGATTGAAGTGTGCTGGTGGCTTTATCATACTGTTACAAATTCCTCAAAATTGTATTGATTAATATGGTATTATGAATTTGTTAATTGTACAAAATTTGTATATCTATGTACTGTAAAGCACTTTAGAGTGGCTTATTCTAGCTAGATAGGGCGCTACATCAAATGTTTTATATTTATAGAAAAGGCTTTTTTATTTTTGACAAACAGAAACAAGTATAAGCTTACCTCATTGTTGTATTTCTGTACATAGTTGTAGAGCTCATACAAGGCATTTTCCTTGGTGAAATGGCCCGTGCTCATCTGTAAAGAATATACCATCATTGATATAACACTATGACAAAGGTAAAAACATCCACTCAAAATAAAAACATTGCTAGCTTGACTACAAGATACAAGTTCGATTATAAAATGTGAAATGAGACTTGTGATCACTATTGTGTCGAGGTTATCACACCTATGATACACTACGCTACTGTCATTAATATGTTACAATAAGAGTGGCTAGGTACCCGAGAAACGTCGGCCAGGTAGGCATTGAGGTCCTGGTCACTGACGGCAGGCATTGCCTGGATGTCACTGAAGTACTTCTCCACCCACTTGCGGTACTTTGGAATATCTTTAGCAAATAGGAGCTTGTTGGAAGGGGAATCCTGAAATTACAAATAAAATATGTGTCAGTATTGTATTTGTGTTCAATATAAAGAAAGTTGAGGCAATTACTCAAACATGTATACACTTTAGATATATCTTTTTTATAATTTTTGTTTTTATTTTAAAAAACTTTCGGGTATCAATATACTGAGATCAAGAAATCAAATGTAGGTTTGAACTTTTGTTTTTATAAACTAATAACTATGATGTCCTAGAATTTCGTATGATCCTACAGAAAAATATGCATCAGTTTTATTTTTACATTACAAGGAACACTACTGGTATTATATATCATGATAGAGACCACACACCTTGCCGAGCCTGTGTTCAGAGGTTGAGCAACTGTCCATGAAGGTTTGTGCTACCACGGACAGACAGGAATCCACAATGCTTGGTTTTTGTATGTCATAAACAAAATTTGGATTCTTTATTATGTTCACCCAGAACCGCAGCAACAAGCTGGAAACAAACAAATATAGGTAAAAATTGTGGGCTATCTGTAACATTCAAAGAAATATCTGTATGAATTCATTATTTATTTAATTTGTAGTGATCATTTTGAGAATATTTTTACCCATAACATTTGAACAGATTTCTGTATGACAACTTATTTTCTAGAGATTTTTGTGTGTACACCTTACCTATTACATTCCTACAGACTTAATACCTTACCTGTTACATTCCTACAGACTTAACGACTTACCTGTTACATTTCTACAGACTTAATACCTTTCCTGTTACATTCCTACAGACTTAATACCTCACCTGTTACATCCCTACAGACTTAATACCTTTCCTGTTACATTCCTACAGACTTAATACCTTACCTGTTACATTCCTACATACTTAATACCTTTCCTGTTACATTCCTACAGATTTAATACCTCCTACAGACTTAATACCTTTCCTGTTACATTCCTACATACTTAATACCTTTCCTGTTACATTCCTACAGACTTAATACCTTTCCTGTTACATTTCTACAGACTTAATACTTTTCCTGTTACATTCCTACAGACTTAATACCTCCTACAGACTTAATACCTTTCCTGTTACATTCCTACAGACTTAATACCTCCTACAGACTTAATACCTTTCCTGTTAATTTCCTACAGACTTAATACCTCACCTGTTACATCCCTACAGACTTAACGACTTACCTGTTACATTTCTACAGACTTAATATCTCACCTCCTACAGACTTAATACCTTACCTGTTACATTCCTACAGACTTAATACCTTACCTCCTACAGACTTAATACCTTACCTGTTACATTTCTACAGACTTAATACCTTACCCGTTACATTTCTATAGACTCGATACCTTACCTGTTGTATTTCTATAGACTTAATACCTTACCTGTTACATTCCTACAGACTTAATGACTTACCTTTTACATTCCTACAGACTAACGATTTACCTTTTACATTCCTACAGACTTAACGCCTTACCTGTTACATTCCTACAGACTTAATGACATACCTTTTACATTCCTACAGACTAACGATTTACCTTTTACATTCCTACAGCCTTAATGACTTACCTTTTACATTCCTACAGACTTAACAACTTACCTGTTACATTCCTACAGACTTAATGACTTGCCTTTTACATTCCTACAGACTAACGATTTTCCTTTTACATTCCTACAGACTTAACGACTTACCTTTAACATTCCTACAGACTTAACGACTTACCTGTTACACTTCCAGGTATGCACCACATCAGGGTCAGTGATGTTGAAACGGTCTGCTGCCTGGTCCATCATGTCAAACAAGTACTTGATGACGGGTGGCATACTGCTGTCCACCTTGAGCACCATCTCAAAGAAGTCGTCTATGTATTGTTTCAGGGTGCCCTGTAAATGTCACCAAACATTGATTTCAACATATTGACACTTAATAGTAATGGCATCTACCACAATGGAACTCTTTCCCATTCAAAAACCAATGAAGCCTGATTATGGTTAAAAATTGAAACCTATCTTGCACTTAAGTCAACTGCAACCTTATTCTTATTAGAAGAAAATTAAATCTACAAAATCAACAGGCAGAATTTTACTAGATGGATAAAGCATTCCTTTTTTGGTTTAGGCAATTTTAAAAGTAATTCTTTTTTTTAATATTTTTAATTTTCAATAGCCAGTGTGTATTTGTAGCCCAAGACAAAATAAAATGCTTAAATATTCAATAGCCGGTGTGTATTTGTAACCTAAGACAAAATATCTTAAAAAGTTTTGAATAATTTGACAAGACTGGGATATAATCCAATTAAATGCAGGGAAGTTTAAAGCTGATGGACCGAGGTATAACCAGCTGACTGGTGGATGGGTTACCTTGGTAGACAGCAGCCGTGTGAGGTAAATCTCCGAGCTCATCTTGAGACCTCCCCCGTTGTTACAGTCGTCATGTTGTTTTACCTATATTGAAGAAAGTTTTCATAACTTAATCATCAACTATCTTTTATAACATATCTAACGATGAAGATTTTAAAACAAATTTGAAAACACATTGAAATCTGTCTCATTTGATCCCAAAATATTCTTATATTCTGTCATATCTGACATACAGCTGTATCTGAATTCGTTATAGAAACCACTAAATAAGATCTGTGTATTCTGGAACTCTGTCTAATCCATCGAACTTGTCGGCTCCTACACGTGTCAGATAAGAGTTTCATACTTTTTTGTATATATTTTCTCTGCCAAGTCAGGATCAACAAGTTATAACTACATTCTTTTGAAAGAGTAATAAGTAATTTATTTCTTGAGAAATCATTAAACTTGTAGTTAATTAACTGAGCAAATCAAAATGTGATTAAATGTCCTTTACTAGAAGGAAATATAAGTTTTACAAGGTAAGTAAAAAGCTAACTCACCAAATGCCAGATCTTGGTGCCAACCTCGTTCTCTGTACGGGCGATGGGAACGGCATCTCTGTGGGGGTAGCCCATGGAGTGGACAGATCCTGAAACATACCCCCGGTAATTCTCAATATACAACTGGTGTCAATATCTCTAAATAATGACAGTGAGAAAAGGCTCAGAAGAAACTTGGATCAGATATGACACAGTGAAAAGGAATGGAGGAATCGGACCCTTTCCTCCAGAAATTCCCTGACCCTTTTCTCTAGATTTCCTCTGATCTTTTCCTCAATGTTGTGATATAAAATTTTGAGATAACTAACTTTTGTGTTGGTGTATTGTACTATATACAGTATCTCTAAATATTGAGTAGTACATCCATCCCCTAACAAATAGTCTTTTATAGATAGTCACGTTCAGACATAAACCATTTGTGCATACATCAGGGTGAAATTTGACAATATGCCTTAAACTAAGCCCTTATCGAGATAAAACTTGATCTTATGTGTGAAAGCCTATAACTGCAGCACTTACCATTGGGTGAGCGTGGCATAGTGCGGCAGTTCTGATGATGAGTAAGAACCATCTCAGAGTGGTCCAACACTTTGTAATGTCGTAACGTGTTCAGCTGTTTCCAGCCGTCCACTTTTATTGTAGTGTTATCCTCATCTAGCATCATACGGCCACTGTTACTTAATTCTGTAAAGATAGAACAAACAACAGTGAATTACTGACTGAACAACGATAGATACAAGGGATAATTTGTCCTGTACATGTCTCCCAAAGTCTTTGGTATTTACATGTGTATTTACTACTTTTTTGTTAATGCTTATTTAATGATAGATCCAAATATTCTTTTTTTGGACCTAGGATTTGATTTTAATGATTTAAAATTAAAACGAATGTTACCCTTGATCATACAATTAATTAAGAAAAAAATCACAGCTGTTGCAATTATCAATTTAAAAAAGATGTTCAGTGCTAAAATTGCCCATGCTAAATTTTTACTTCATTGATATGAAAACATACCTTTCTGATATTTTACCCCTTTCGAGATGTTGATGACATCACCATTATCACTGTATTGCCTACCTAAATCTAGTTCTGCAGCTACTGGCCTCTGGGAATACGCAAAGTTTCGGAATATTGTGTCCAGCATCTTCTCTTTGGCTTGTGTAATTGTATCACAGTCTAAAACACGGCACTTGTATTTCTTCCCCTCATACTCCACATTCAGGTTCTACAAATATAAACCACAACAAAGTGATCACTTGCCTTTTATTTTCCCATGATTTTTTCTGAACAATTATTTATGTAAGAACCTTATATAAATATATGATCTCTTGCACTTTTTAGATGTTTTTTTTTTATGGTGAAAGCCTGAAACTATTAAAACACACATTGCATGTAAATTCTTGATACCGTATGGTAATCTGCTGACCAGTGAGCTAGTTGTTTTGATACTATTGAGTACCAGTTTTACTGAAGGATTTAAATATCTTCAATCCAGAAGATAAATGTGGTCAGTTATAATGGCATAATAAAACTCATAAAAAGAAAGCTAAAAAATTCATGAAGCCTATCTGCCATCCTCTCTCCTCTCACACAAAAATATACCTATATGTGAAGGGTGAAGGAAGTCTGTTTACTTACCAACATTTCTACTTCTAGTTTACACTCTGTCCTGAGCAGACGGTCCTCTGAGAGCGAATAACGCGCATCACAGGTCACATGATCTATCGGGCCCTTCTCCACCTGAACTTTGATGGCTTTATACAGAATGTACAGTGATGACCCTGCCGAGTCCTGAAACAGGTGAGACAATATCCAGGTAAGATACACGTGTTCAGAAACGAGTTTACAAGACAAACAGAATACAGGTCCATAGTTTACCACTAATAAGCCCATGCTTCTGTATTTAGCCCACACACTTGAATTAGGAATAAACCCAATACCCATGCATTTTATTCCATTTCAAAGGGGCTATAGATCCCATGGGCTTATCACAGGCCAAATACATTACAATAATTATACTCATTAGGAACTTTCGTGGTATTCATTTATGTTCAAAGCAATTAAAGTTGGATTCTGGCAAAAATACTCTAAGAAGAGGGTGTGTGGTAGTGAAAAGCTTCAGACTGGCAAAAATGTCCCTATGCACTTATGCAGTACTGCATTAACAAGAATAACAATATGGTCACCTTTTGTCCTATCTCCTGCATTATTCAAAATTGTGATTTTGATATGTTCGAGATCATTTGATATGTCATCATTTTAAACTCAGCTTTATGTTTCCATTTGATTTTTAACAGAGTAATGTTCAGTCTAGACCTAGCATTCTTTTATGTATACTTTAAAAACACACAATAGATTCTTTGCAATTGCAAAATGAAGAGAAGAAGATAAAAACTACTTTTAAATAAGTAATTATTAAACTATAAGAAATGAGATTGACACTTTCAAGTAAAAATTAATTGTAAGAAATGAAAATGCTTTTCTAAACAGAAATTGGGTCAAACGAAACATTAAAATAAGATTGTTATGACTGAAATATTAAAGCAGAGAAATTTAAATTCTACATTCTACAAGACGAACTTGCCACTAGTCATCTCAGCTTATATATAAAATCTAAACCTCTGGTTATACAATCTAACTCTCAAAATGTACAACCGAAATCTGAGTTTGTACAATTTGGTTCCAACTTTGCAATTGTACAACCAGAACTTTAGCTTAGAAGATCTCAACTCTGTATCAAACAATCTAAACTGTGGTTTGTACAAATTAAACCTCAACTGGTAGAATGTAAATCTGATGATTTACAATCTAAAAACCAGTTTGTAAAACCTAAACTCTAGCTTTAGCAATCCAATCCCCTTAACTGGTTTTCCATGGTTGGTTGCATCTCCAAATTTGGAATCTAACATTGCTCACGGCTTTTGATATTATATGCAATCAATCCTGGGTTACCAACGGTGACCCTCAGCTTGTAAAATCTGATAACCATTTCTATCAATAAAGCTTCAGAACACAGCAACAGAAAAGTTAAAAAACAAAAATACTAGTAGCCAAGGCCCTAGAGTTTGTCATAAGTACACAGTAAAACCTCTGAAATCTGTACTCTTGTTAACCCATTCACCCCTAAAGTCACATTTGAATCTTACCAAATCAAAGACTGGGCAAGTCCAGTCTTAAAATGTAGGGGTGAATGAGTTAACCTGGAAATCACACATTCAGGTGTATATATCTAGGAACTGAAATACCTCTTGATCTATTTAATTGGAGTTCCTAAGATATATACATGATGCAGCTATGAATCAAATGCATTCATTCGGTACAAAGTGCCCAAATTAATGAAGTTATACTGTACTTTTATCAAATGTTTGCTACGGTATCTATATATGCCAAAACATGAAATGATTGCATTGCTTGTGATTTGTGCTCAATGTGCTGATGAATATTCATATGTGCCAAAACCTTTCTAATTCATCCAAACATCCAAACTAAAAACTGTTGAGGTAACCAAAATGCATTGCTTCAGTTCAAAACATAATTTCAAATCAAATCAAATTGATACACAATAAAAGTGTGATAATGGATGGTTCTGTGTGTTCTTCCTCTATAAAGATATCTGATACAATGATCTAGAAGTATGGTGGAGTATGCTGCTCTTCTACATATTTAGGAGGTTATCAGGAACATTACTGGAGAACTCTTAGGCATACACAGTATACCCAGTAGAGTGTAATTGATCATAAACACGACATTATCTGCTTGAATGTAATCAGTATGGCTCAACTCATTCACCCCCTGAAATTTCATAACAAACTATTCCTTTGAATTGGAAGAGTTAAAATGTGTGTTCAGGGGTGAAATAGTTAAACTGCCCTGGCCTTGTTATCATTGGTTAATAATCATCTGTCAGATGTAAACTGTAACAGGTGCTATGATGTTGAAGATGTATATACTGCTAATCATTGCCTTTTGATACTTTTTAACAACTACCAGCTACAGTGTAAACTTCTTTAAGATTCCAATCTTGTCATCTTTAACTGGTGGAAATAATGCAGGTTCATAAAAAATAAATTCAAGATGGGCGGTATTCTTCTGTATATTGTATATATCCTTGGTTCATGATGACCTCCATGATTATAACATACTAACAATACAACATTTATGATATCGAGACCATTTCTACAAGCAGCCATTAATCCAGTTGTTCCTTAACCCCACTGGGTAATATTATGACAACACCCAGTTACCAGTTAGACACTTAGACACGAAACACGGCACTGTCTATCTGGTACACAAGTACACAATATCTGTTAGATTACAACATTATCGGTGTTGTATTAGTGGGGTTAAATACATAGAGTACACATTTAAATAATCATATACTTGTTTGATAAGTAAGATATGTTAAATCTGCTGCTTTCATTTTTTAATTAAAAAAATCTCAAAATCTGACTACATCACAATCTTGCATTAAGTTTCAAATTTACTGCCTACTCTGTAGTAACCCTTAAATGGTGAAAAAACGTTAACTATATCTGACATTGTGTACTGAAAAAGTCCTATTCTGAATGTCCTAGCCTACAGAAAGTGTGGAAGTAATTGATTTTACTAAATCTTCCTTCTAATTGCATCAATTTTTAAATAAATGTTGTCCTGGATTTTGTACAAACTTTTATTTCATTTAAAGAGGGCAGTACCACTAGAATTTACAGTAATTTCTAAGGGTAGTCCTTTTCTACCTTCCATACACAGGAGATCAATCAGACACTGGCACAGGACAATATACCACCACACATTCACCGGAATGTTTTTGTGATCCAAAGCTGAAAAATTTGATAACTGTTTCCATTGAATTTTTGTGACAACTCCGATGAGATAATTCTGATTATTATATGGTACATCTACATAGCTTAGGAATACGTAGCTGCAGCGTGTTATGACACTATTGACGGCAAGAAAGGGATTAAGAAGCGTCTTGAGTTAATTGAAATTCTACATAATATATTTCAGCTAAACAGAAATCTCACTAAAGGGGCACAACTCCTGAAAGCACTGGCTTGGGTATAATTAGCTTATGAATATACATGAGATGATATTTTTCACTCAACACACACTTACTGGGAAATTCGACTCTTCCTGAAAGTGAAGAACATCTCAACTTCAGATTTGGATCCAAATTTTTTATTTAAACTTTCACTGTGATGTATTTATTTTTACTATGACTTGATAAGATATGTTTTCAACTTAAAATTGAAGCCACTTGATAAGATATGTTTTCAACTTAAAATTGAAGCCCCAAAACAAATATTATTTCACATTCTGCTGAATCAAGTAAAATCATCAATTTAATTTTCTTGTACTGCATAAATAAACGGAATTATTAAATTTTTCTTTCTTTCAAGCTTTAAAATGTTAATTGTAACCACAGCAGTATGCATTAAATGTAAAATAAATTAAAAATAAAAATAAAATGCATAAATGCTTAAATGAGAGTTTTATAAGTGTTTGACAAAGAAACCTGCTTTCTAGGAATTAGACAAAAAAAACTGCTTTCTAGGAATTACAATCTACAAAGCGTTAGCTAACGCCACAATGTACGATGTAATTGACAAAACAAGCATTAGATATATCCAGCTTACTGTACGGGAATCAATGACTTAAATACCTCAATTCATACAGTTACATCCAAATTTTAATCATTTAAATATATATATATATCAGAATTAAACGTATGTGTTCTGAGATTTCAAAAACATTCACCAGAAATCCCAGACTTCCTTTAGCAATATATATTTTTAATTTGAAAAAAACCCCAAAAATCATAAAACTTTAACATAACGCAGCTTTAATTTAGCTAATTCAGTGCGTTCAAATGGTTCCAGTACTGTAAGTGTTACAAATTCTACTGCAAATGTTTATTCACTCAAATGCAATACGTTTTTGTTACAAATACTATTCCTTTCATTTTCATCATATGTTTTTACTTCTTGCAGTAAAATATTACTGACAGTTTGTATAAAAAATTGATATCATATAGAAAGGAAAATGATTTCATACAGGTGTGGTAAAGAGTTCTCTCAGGTCAGGGGAGATAACTATGATACTTACCACTAGGTATTTATACAAACACAGGGACAGCCAGTTAGCCAACAGTTTTTCTACAACAGACTCTGTCCTAAAATGTAAAAAAATGTATATATATATATTTAATATACATATTAAATGTTGCAATTACAACAGCATACTTTATATAAGTAACTTCTGTTTGTTTATGTATTTTGTATTGCATTATTGTTTCATGACTGTTTTTCTCTGTTATATGTTGTGATATGTAAATTTTCATGTTCCTGTCTTGATAAGATTGTCCTGAATATTTGACAAATTTCTTTGTATGCAGTCTGCACTGTCGTTATTACTTCTTTGCCCTTAAATTTAATATATGTCAATACTCTAAATTACTGATTATACACATAAAATTAAACATATAAACATGTGCTTCTTCAAAAAGATAATTATCTACTGATAAGCATCAAAATGCTCCATGTTCCGTATCTTACTGAATTCTGTTACAGAATTACTGAACTAATAATTGTCTGTGAAAAAGTACAGAGTTACCCTTTTTCTTTAATGTTGTAGAGTACAGTATCTGACAGTACATTAATTACTTACCTCCTCAGCATCAGCTTTGGATGTTTGCTGTCAACGGACTTCTCTATCAGATCTGCCAGCAGAGTTTTCAAAATTCTACAAAGAGATAACAATAGAACAACTATGCAAGTATTGACTCTCCAAATATTTTGTTTTTTGTTATCAGCGTAATGACAAAACTCAAATTTGCTAGCAAAGGAAATTTAATATATTAATCCTGGCATCAAAATAAGATACTTATGCATCAATTTCTATGACCACGTTCTTGCGCAATACTATACCTGTTATTTGTTGACTAACCTTACCATGAACATTGAAAAAAATTGCATTGTCAAGGAAAATAAATCTGTGTATAGTTAACCTTGAATTACCATGTTCACCTGACAATAAAACCATGGTTGGTGAAAAGCAGACCCATTATCTATAACATTTCAGTGGACATACCAACAAATGCTAATTCACTGTAGCTCTATAATAAGCCCACCCACTACCTATATAATTCTTTATTTGTTTTAGGAAGGGTACATTCAGCCATTGGCTACGAGTTGTTGTTTTGTTTTGTTTTGTTTGTGTTTTACGTCCTGTTAACAGCTATGGTCATTTAAGGACGTGCCAGGTTTTGGTGATGGAGGAAAGCCGGAGTCCCCGGAGAAAAACCACCGACCTACAGCCAGTACCTGGCAACTGCCCCACGTAGGCCTCTAACCCGCGACTTAGTGATGGAGGGCTAGTGGTAGCAGAATGTCGGACGCCTTAACCACTTGGCCACCGCAGCCCCTTTCGATACCAGTTGTTCTTGTATATCAGTGTTATATATATTGTCTCCTGGATACCATGTGTGCCGCACTTAGAACTTACTCTGTAGCATACTCCATGTTGTTCTGGTAGAGAATCATCAGCAGTGACGCTACATTGGACCTGAAACAATAGATAGAGACCGTCATCAAATAACAGTGGGGTTAAGAAAAAGGAGAAAGAAATTTGTTGGCTGCAAATAGATGTAGCATGGGCAATGAGGGCTATTATAATACAATTATAGTGCCTATATATCCAAATCATATATATCGCCATGCAGCCTCTAAGCTGAAGACCCGACAGTGAATAAGTTCATTATTTTCAAGTTCATGATTGTGTAGGCGAGACGGGTTAGTGAATAGATATATCGAGTAGCTAGTTTTAAGTATAAATGACATTAGGATAGCTATAATACGGGTGTTTGTTATAAATACCAGCTGTAGAGTTGATAAGAGCAGATTATATGATAACTTGAGCTGTTATAGGGTAGATATAGCACTTCTGTCGTTTTGTTAGGTCGTATTTTCGCTCGTAGGCAGCCATATTGGAACATGCTGTAGTGATGTAAATTTATAGTACGCGTATTTTCATTGGCTGGGTTCAGAGTGAGGAGCCAATGAGATCTGTCCGTGGGATATATAAGCCGGTGTTTTCACGTACTCGGGGCAGACAGAGCTGGACAGCTTGCCTGACAAAAACCATGTCCAGGTAAGGATGGGTTAACTGCCACGTTTGTAATTAGGGTCGGATGACCTGAGAGACCCGGTATAGGTCCATGGGTAGAGTTACCACATGTTAGGTTGAGCATGCCGCACGGGCATTAGCAGTGCTTCATGGCTTGAAAGCCAGGGTGTAGAACAGCTGATTTGTGTATATATATATAATGTAGGGTTAGTGTGGAGAAACACAACAATGAAACTGACACAGAACAGAGGACAGTTCATATATTTCTCCCTGTTAAGTCTGTAATAGACCGTTTAGCATTAGAGATGGAGGTCTCACAATGCCTAGTTGGTAGTTTTATTGGCTTTAGGGGAAATATAGGAACTTGGCTTGGAAGTGTATAGAAGTTAGGATGTAACTATTAGTTTGGCTATTAATGTAAAGGGTGGGTATAAATAGGTTGTGATACAGGAGTTATGATATTTATCTAGAAAGGTTATCAGGTTTACCCTTACAAAACCATTCCATTATGATGTACACTTATTTTTTTTGATATTCCTTATTGTCCATATTCTACAATGGCAACAACATTTACAATGGTTATTATTGTTAACACTGTTGATATTTGATATTGTTATTAAATACTGGAACTGTTATTTCTGACTCTGGTTTTCATTTCTCTAATCTCCCGCCTGATGGGAAAAGAACACGGTGGAAGAGGGATAATGAGGAATAGGTGTCTGGCATATGAGATCACAGAATTAAACACAACGCGAAGTACATTATAATACCCACTATATCCGGGATTGACACCTATTCGACAGAAATCCCCCTTCTACTACAATTGTAAAAACATTCTGGTTGCTTATCCCTGCTACAAATGTTTTCATTGTTAGTGATGTGATACGTGATTTGGCAGGGAATTCCAATGGTTGACCACTCTTTCTTTAAAGGAGTACTTTCTTTTAAAGTTCAATTTAGACATTCCTTTTTCAAGTCGAAGACTAAGTTCTCTTGTTCGTTTGTTATCGTTTTTATTTAAATGAGCCTTCTGTTACAGAAGTGTCATAGTATCCATGTATTAGTTTATAAACTTGTATCATATCTCCTCGAAATCTTCTATGTTTTACTATCCTTAATCTGTCTTGATAATGTAGGTCTGGAGATAATTATGTTACAAGGTAACTTTTCATCACATAGATAATAACATATTTTAACATGTGTGTAAGAGACTGAGTTTCCCCTGGCAGCCAATGAAAACCCACTGCAGTGCGTTGGTTCATAAATACATACTTGTCCCTGATACTGAAACTTTTCTGTTTCTCCAGGGTCCGGATGAGTAGGAGGAGGAAGTGCTTGTTCTGAAGCAGCTGGTTGAAGTGTACAATACCAATATCAGGATGGCGGTCAATGTTCCCATTCTTTTGCTGAGAAAGAGGGGAAGAACAATCAAATACATAGCAATTTATAGGTTTTATATTCCTGTTATAGAAATGTCATTAATGGTAGTTATATTAATTTTACATTTATTGTTTTTGCTATCTGTATTTACAAATTGCATCTTGAAAGGAAGAAATGTGGACTACTTATATGTAAATAAACAATTTACAGAATAGGGAAATATTTTGAAAACTAAGAATTAACATCTGAACTAAAGAGATATTTTTCTGAGAAATTGGGAGCAGGCTGATTACGTACCATAGGTGGGTGGAGGATGACATGATCCAACATGCCGGGGAAAAGCACATTGAAGGTGTAACTCTCAAAGCTGTAAAATGGCTTTTTGCTTGCATCCAGGTCATTTGTAAGGTCAGTCATGTCTGTCTGCAGCTCCGCAAATGCTGGAAAAAGCAAATACGTCTTACATCTAATTGTGATTTTTAATACACATTTCTTTTCTCTTAATGAGAAATACTGTATATTAAGGCAGGATTTACAAATCTTTAATGTCTTGTAACATCGTGGTTTTTACTGAATGCACAAAAAGAAGTTGTTTTGGAGACCTGCTCTGGATACCCTCATGCCCTTTAAAATTCTCACAGGTAATTTTTATGAAATCTTAAATTATTTGCAGTTTTTGACTTTGTGTTGTCATTAATATTATACATTTCCTTACCTTGCCGACACTCATTTCGGACATTGCTCTCCAGTGAATCAAGTTGGATCTGCATCTTGCGGAACTCGCGCTTAGAGCGTGTCTTTTGGCGGTGGTAGAACAATGCGAACAGGATAACTGCCACTAGGATGACCACCACAATGGCCACCACACCACTGATTATGTACACAAGCATGCTTCCCTCAGGGCTCGGCGTTTCGTAGGCTAGGAACCCAATTTGGTACTCACGGTTTCCAATCTTCACCTGTTTAGAGATAAATAGAAAATCACACAGTTAACATCATCAGGTAAAGATTACAATGTTGATGGTTGCTAGATTTTTCTTATTAGGCTGCTTGGTACAAGTTTATACTATATTACTAAGGTAAAAGGTTACAATGATTACTTTGTTGTTCAATAAAAGTTATTATGCGGCTCAGTGAAAGTTACTGTGCTGCTAAGTAAATGTTACCCTGTTGCCAGGAAAAAAATACACAGTTGCTAGGTACAATTGTAAAAGAATTTCCTTCACTGCTTTTGGCACTTTACAATGCTGTGTTCATAGGCAACAATTTCATTTGAAAAAAGTGGGATTCCATTATTTAATATATTCATATCACACTTTGTCAGTTTAAGCAGTACCAGTACAACTTTATCAGGAACCGACAATTATTTCCCAAGTGTGACGAAACCTGTTTGGGGAAATATGAATCTTGATATACGTACAATGACTTGTGGGGCATTGCTGTTGGAAGGAACCCCGTTGCGTTGGATGGTTTGAGGCTGGGTGGTGGGTGGTGTGCAGTAAATCTCATTTTCCACAAGATTTGTAACATTACACATCTTTTCACCAATCATCACAGTCACGTCCTCCTTGCTGGCTGCCACGTTCAATCCTTGACCCTACAGACACAACACAATAATTTTCTAATATGTTCAAATCTGAGGAGAATTGGCGATGTGATGATTAACGGCCCCGCAAATGTTTTTTTTAAAAATTATGACCCATATTTATGATTCAATTGAGACAATAACTGAACAAAATTATCTGATTTTACAGCTTCTTTCTCTCACCAGAAAATAAGAAAGGAAAGAAGGAGGGATATGGATATTTATAGAGTCGGTTTGAATCTAAACAAATACGCTACTGACCTAATACAGAACTTTTCCATGGCAATGTATCTAAGAATAAGTGATTAATATGAAAACAAAGGGAACAGAGTTTTACAAATTTATAAAACACTCACGACAGACGACCACTCACAGGGATACAAACGTAATACTAACCCTGATAATGAGGACTTCGCCTTTGAACTCCTTCAATCCTCCCTGCTCCGTGAAATTAAACACTTGGGGGTCGGAGAAGTAATCCAGGGAGCTAGCCACATCAGGGAAGTTACGAGACAAATTCTGCACCGACAGCACATTGTCCATGATGAAGCCTATCTCAGCAGATAGCTGCTGTGTTGACCGCCTCAAACGGTCAACGCGTTCCAGTTCGTCATGAACGGTCATGTGGGGCGTTGGACACTTCATCATCGTAGAGTTGAATATGTAACAGTCCTGTGGGAATGTATTCACAATTTGAATTCATAATACTGTACAAAAATTCATGATGTAAAAAAGATTTATATTTTGAAATGCACTGTATGCTGTCATATTATAATAACAGATCATTTTAAATTAGGGAGGTTAAAAGGGTCTGGCAAGAATGAAAGCTAGGTTCTACACAATAATGAACAGACTGTTTCAATAAATACTGGTACTTATAACCCTTGCTAAAGTAATTATTTGTTTTGATTTGTGTTTGTAATATATTTTCACAACCAAATTATTACCAAATACATAAAGTGTGGCTACAACATAAGATGTAAATAACATTGAGAGTAGTTCCCATACTAAACACTCCCGAGTAGTTCCCATACTAAACACTCCCCGAGAGAGAAGCATATAATGAAGGGTATGTAATGCTGTTTACTGGGAAATCTCTGCTGCAACTCAATTACCCCTTCCTTCGTCCACTGTAATGAGGGCAACTCGTCATTACAGCAAACGTAAGTAAACAACATAATATGCATAGGAATTATATGCGAAGGGCGAAATTAACACTGGGCTAATATGGATTATTCTGTCAAAGGGCTAAAGTTTACTGGGCAAAACATTTTCCTGCATAAGGTTCTCAAATTATGCCTGATGTTCCTTTAAGTAAACCACCGGTCAAAGAAGTAGAGTGAAAGTGACAATGTACTTACACATTCTTTGCTGCGTTTTGCTGCGAAGATGGTAAACATTCGAGGTCTCTGTATACAGGTGAAGTTGGTACCAGTCACAGTAATGTTCCTTCCTCCACTGCAAAATCACCACAAACAAATCTGGTAAACACTCGGTGATTGAATTAAAACGTTACTTTATTGAATTAAAACTCTACTTTAAATCACATAAGCATATTCTGCTTTTTGTGCCATTTTTTATTGTGCTACATGCATTTTAAGTTTCTTTGACAATCCTCAGTGCTGTTAAAATGCTTACCTAAAGAAGCTGCGAACAGGGGAGATACTCTTGATTGTCGGGTCGTCATAGTAACGGAACATGAGTGAACCATAGATGTCGTTACCATCAATACTCGCTCGAATCATTTCATCTCCAGTCTGGGGGCTGGGGGGTGTTGTACAGGTCACTGACCTTTGACCAACATGCCTGATGAATGAAAAAATAATATGCAGTCAAACCTTCAGATAATAATGGAAAAATGTCAATCATTTACAAAACCTAGACTAAATTTTGATAATTTTAACGGTTGTTGCAACATAATGCTGTCTTTAAGTGCTTGATTTTGCCACTCCTTTGTAGAGTGTACCTCTCATTCAGATGGGCAATGACCTAATTGAGTTTATATATTTTTTTTATCTTTCTATGAGACTGATACTATACCAATATTTATCTTGTATTTAGACCAGGATGCAAACACATCTCTGAATCAATATAGGGGGTAGTGGGAGTGGAATATTTACAGGAAAATGAAACAGCATGTCCATCAGCCTATCACTGTAGATAAAAATATAACATACACAACACATAAGCACTGGTTACTCGATATCTTTAATTATTGTACCTCCGAAGCGTTTTGTTATACAAATACATTATGTACTGTATTGACATCATAGGCTAATATTAAACAGCCTGTCGTCGGCCACCTTACCCAATGATCTGACAAGTACGATTGTTGATGGAGATGGAGATATTGTTGCCAGCATTTAGGTGTAAGCCCTTGACGGTGATGGATGAGCCGCCAGACTTTGGGCCGTGGGCAGGGGTCACCTTCTCTATGGACGGGCTCTGTTACAGTAAATGTGCAACATTGAGGCAGTTGAAGTATACATTTCACTAGTGTTTTTTATTGGCTTACAATATCTATAATTACATGTATTATGATTGAAAAGATGCTTTGTCAACAATTAAATATTTCTTTCAAGAAAAATGTAATAGGCAGATTTTTTTTTAAGGAAAAATCACATTTGATTCCTAAACTTCATATACAATATTTCTTCTTCTTTTTTTGATTGAAGCATACTAGTCCATGACAATTAAAGTGCACAAGGCGAAAGCAATGTGAAGAAAACTGAATTGACTCACAAGGTAGTGGAATATGATTTTATTAAAGACGTATGTCAGCACAGTTACGCCTCCGGACTTGTCCCCATGGTCACTTGGACCAATGACACACACGATTCTGTAACATAACACAGTCAAATCAGTCTATTATATACCGGTGAATCATGGGAAAACACAAACTTTCCATCATGACTCAATGTTCAAATTTCTCAAAATTTAATATTTTCACCTCATTCTGCAATTGAAAATATCAATTTAAAATCATAACTGATTAGATGAGTAAATTTCTATGAACAGTGTTCCTACAGGAAACATGATCAATTCAATACCATGTGTCACTCTATTTACTAGCTTTTGAGCTAAGCCCTTCACTAGGCAGTGACTGGCACTCACCTCTGAATCACATTCATAGGAGACTTACAATCAGGAAGTTTTTTTTCTGAATAAAGTTTGTTAAAATTTCATCAATTTGGCAGAAATTTAATATTATCTTCAAAAGAGATATGTAAAACTTAGATTAACAGTAGAAAATCCAAAAGTTATTTTTTCTCCTGAATATGTTCAGTAGCAAGTAGATTTAATGAAGCAAGATACATTAGTGAAGGTCTGCAATTAAAGTGTTATGAGTTATTACATTTTGGAGGGTCTGTAGAGTTCCTTGATAGGTCTACACGGTACACCTGCTATTGACACGTTGTTCTGAATGTCCTTGAACTCTGTACCGAGGTTATGCCCTGTCAAGGTCACACGTGTGCCTCCCATCTTTGTTCCATTGTTAGGGTCGATCTGTAATGTACAAAATAGGTCAGATTAACACCTCCAGTTCTTATCACAAGCACTCAATATTAAAGTTACAGTAATATGTTGGAAAGACAGCGATTAAAATTACAGTCTTAAAATTTCATAAATATTTGTAGAATTACAAACTATTTGAAGGGAGGTAATCCAATATGGCGGACCAGAAACTCGAGAACGATAACCCAAGAATGACTTGTTCCTACGTATAGTGCGCACCCCCTTTTTGACATGACAATATTTACCTAAAAAAGTGTGCACTATACGCGCAAATTTACGGTAGTATGGAAAGATTAAAAATTTCAATGACTTAAAGGACTAGGAGCGTTAAGGGTTATTTTTAGCCTCATCAGGGATTTAGAACTAGCTGTTATATTTATAACCTTAGATAAAGGAAGTGTGTAAAATAAAAAATGCCAGTTTTATCCTGCTGATAAGAAAAAAGAGCGAAGGTTAGCGGCACAGTACCTTGTCATAAACTTTTAAAAACTATTTTTAACAAATAGAAAAGGATTGTTTTCTTTTAAATTTGAAAAACTATTAACAAAGAATAAGACATTTTCCTGCCTTTTTCAGGCCTGATACTCACACTATGGATCCTAGGTGGGGGACAGGTGTCTCCGCTACTCCAGATTTGGGCTCGTGTGTCGGCACAAAACTCTCGGTACTCACACGTGCCCTGACACCAGGCGCAGTCGAGCTGTATTTCGTGATGCTGCATGTACTTGCAGTAACTACAGTCCCCATTACCCAGCTTGGTACAGCTGTATATAGTCACTGTAACAAAGGGCAAAGGTCAAAATCCACCAATCATATCGGTGTTAGTTAGGCACCGTAGACAATCAACCAATCATATGAATTTGATCCTTCAAACAATCGGCCAATAGTAGCAATGTTGCTTGATACGGTATGTATCAATACTTAATCAACCCATCAATATTTCATCTTACTCCTTCTATTTCTGTTGTAATGTTCATGTCTTTTGTTACATGTAGCTTCACATTGTTTAAAAGGTTTTGTTCTACCTCATGGTATCTGAATTGCATAATACTAATGCAGCACATTTAGCTGTTTTATATTTATGTTTTACAGAAGTATAGTATAACACATACCTTGTGTTGCATCATTTTCAACCTCAGTGTTATTTCCAAAGAAGATCCTGAGGTCAGCTTGAAACTTTCCAGTTTTGAACACATAATTTCTCTGCAAGCAGTAATGCCAATAAAAGTGTTGACAAAGATCTGATAATATATGGCAGATCAAAATGACAAATGATACTATAATGTATCTATGAAATATTCTCTTTAAATGAAATAATAATTCAGTTCATGTGAATGAAAATACTCAATAATATATTGCAGGAGTCCCATAGTTTACAGCTGTTGAATGTGCTAAAGAGTAATAGATGCTTTGCTGGACCAAAAGATATGACTATTACCTAATGGGATATAAAAACTCGACATTATATCACATGTTACAGCTAAATATGTGTGTTTCAGTATGTTTAAGAATGTATTTATAATCTGTGTGGTGGATCCTGTCTTACCTCTGGAATGTGGCACCTGATGATTTCACTGTCCAGGCGGTCACAGTGGGCCCTCACTGTAGTAAGGGTGTCAGGAATGCGGATCTCAGAACGATATCCCTCCATCCCAGGCTGATAGTGTGACCAAAATAAACAACAAACTTGAAGCAATCTTACATGAAGGATATTACACAGAGAAATGAAATGAAGCTTAAAGTAGGTATTAAGAAGATCGAAAATTTATGTTTCTTTGAACATCTTTTTGAGTGCGTTTTTCATTATTGATTTTTTTTTTCATCAAAAACATTGTTGTATCTTACAAGACGCTCTGGGAAGTTGAATCCCCGTATGGTGATGGGCTTGGCTTTCATGTTGGGGATGTAGACTGGCTCAGTTTTGCTTCTATCCACCCGCGGACAGTGGTTTGGTCCTCGTCTCCCCTCACCCGAGTACCTCTGAAAACAACAAACTAGGGGGTCAGAATTATACAAGGAGACTCGAGAACAACAGACAATACAGGTGGTACTGTACAGGTGGTTCTCATAGTACCGCAGGCAGTATCGGGTTGATATTAACCTTCATTAAACAAGTGCCACTCTAAAACGAGTGATCAGGGTGATGTGTATACATTTTGCGTGGTAAGAGATCTTCGCTTCCTATACATAATCTGTGTTATGCTGGCAGCAGATCTTTGCGACTAATGCATAATTGTTTGTAAGCTTGACAAGAGATCTTTGCTATACATATTTGACAAGAGATCTTTGCTATACATATTTGACAAGAGATCTTTGCTATACATATTTGACAAGAGATCTTTGCTATACATATTTGACAAGAGATCTTTGCTTACTATTTCATTTGTTGGTACATTTTCATTGAAGTAAGAAATCTTTGGAAAGATCACAGCTATAAAACATATCTACTATAGCAAGGATGCAACTGATTATTACCAAAATATCTTATCATGACATATCTTATTAATTTTCTACAATTCCACTTACTTTTTATATGTAATATTTGTATACTAAATAGATATCAATATTACCTGTCTTAAACTGTTTTCAACATGAAATTACAAATATTAAATTTGTATGACCTTTTATAATTCACTGTAATTATTTTGACACTCAAGACACAGTTATCCTTCTGTATCAGCAGCATGCAGCTAGTATTTTCTACCTATACAAATGCAATTGGATATTAAATTTTTATTATGTTTTTTTTTTTAAAACTTCCGGAATGGTAAAAGTCTGTAGTTAAAAAATCCAAAATGCACGCTAGTACTGTACATGCGGGTAATAAAATATCGATATGAAGAAGAGCATCATGAAGAACTTTGTGATCAAAGCAAGAGAGAATTAGTAATGTTAACACAACTTCTCAAAAAAGACTACTTCACATGTATGTAAAACTATAATTTTGTAATTACTAAAAACATCTAGTTTTCTCTGGTGATGTTTTAGTACTTTTTTCCAATAGATCATCCAAATTACAAAATTCCACTCTGGCCATAGTACAATGGCTTATAGAAACAAAGGAGACATCTCATGTCAACAAAAGACCAAGTAACAGTGTAGAAGGGAGATAACTCATGTCAACAAACATACTGATCATATCTGGTAATCAAAATGGTCTTACCAACTTCCTAGCTATATTTAAATTTTACAAATAAAACTGATTTTTTTTTAATGATTTTTAAGTATTGGGGGCTCTCACTCACTAGTAATTTCCAATTCCTCGTTTCGTTCCATTTGGGTTTTAATTCCTGGGGAATTTTCCCCCCAATACTTTTCTGTAATATTATTTACTTATCTGTTGATTATTTTACTGCTTTTGCTTTAATTTTTCTGTCTATTCTTGATTCTACAAGGCTCTTGAATCGCTCAGGAGTTTCGTCTTGCCAGCTCTTAAATCGCTTAAGTCTGGTGGTCAGTTTGCCTCTCTTGAATCGCTCAAGGCAAAGCTCTGCTTTGTAATCGCTTAAAAAGTTTTCTTTACTACTTATATATATGAGTATCTTAAATGCAGCTCTTGAATCGCTCAAGGGTTTGCTCTAGATATCTACATGTATACTGTCTTGAATCGCTCTAGAACGTTTCACTAGATATTTACATTTGGCCTGTCTTGAATCGCTCAAGAGTTAGTTGTCTGGCCTACTTAAAATATATTGCTGAGAATATATTTTTTGTTTTTCCTTGTGGCCTCTTTCTTTGCTTAGGAGGCTACCTCGTCAGCACATGTTTGTTTTTGTAGTATTGTATATAGTTAGCTTATTGTGTTGAGTGAGTAGCCCCTGATACGCCAAAGTATAATTTTGTATTTTATTTTATCTTGCTATCTGACTCATTTAAATATCTCGAATTGTAATAAACAGGTAAACTGTTGTTTCATCGTTTTTGTTGTGTATAAAAGCATCATGTCAAATAGTCGAGGATAAAATTTAGTGTCGCTATAATCAAGAGTCAGTTTAGTCAGGTTTCACTGAAATCATTCCCGTGTTATATAAAACCCCTAAATTCAGCCCCTTCCCCACCTTAACCTCACTGATGTCTATCACTGGTTCTATCTGAACAACCTGTCGCATCTATGTGCTTTTTTGTATAAATGTCCAAGAAAAGCCTCTTATGCAAATTTTCATTCTTGACCATGAATTTTTCAATAATCACAGCTTACTTGGTCTTCACATGACCTTCACATGACCCTTGCAGGTTATCTTGACTGATGTTAGAATCTACTAAGCTGATTCAGTAAGAATTGATTTGACCTTGTATGTTGGTACAGTATCAATTAGTAAGTAAGATTTTTAAAGACTTTGCAAAACATTGCTTCATGATCTAAAATGATACACACATCACATTTGAGTGTAACACAACTACACAGAACTTGATTGAACAGTTCAGTACAATCTACCGGTAGTAAGACGGGCATGACACGTATAGTACCTAATTTACGAATCACAAAATAGAATATGAAAGTTGGGAACATTTTATGCTGATTATGAAACAGAATGGATTCCGGAATGGATATCAGTGACTGCCCAAGATTTTCATGTCTTAATTAGTAGATCTTCACAAAAAACCCACACCCAAACACAACAGGGCTTCAAACATGCACAAGTTTTGGGAATGAATAATATTTTGTCAGTCAGCTCTGTCTTGTTCAACTTTTGTCACTTGTAAGTCATTTAAAATTCGACATTCTGATATATACATGCCATGCAGTATGCTGTCTATATTTCTTCATGAATGAAATCCTTCAGACTTGTTGAAATAGTATCATGCTGACTTTATTGGAGATTTAATGTACAAAAACTTTTAACTAGAAAACACTAGAAGAAGGAATACAGTTTATATGATAAAAATATTCCTTTTGAAAAATAATCACTTCACTTTTTGTCAGAAAACAGAATACTATGCAAATTTTCATCCAGAAAAAAAGAAAGTTGGAATAGGAAAAAAAAGGTAACACAGAAATATATGAATGACATTATCAATGAAGTAGAACCTATGAATTCATCCAGACACAAAAAATTTATACACTAGGGCTATGTATCTATGATAATAACATATACACCATCTTACAATGCTGCTGGCAACCTCTGTCGAGTTATCATCATCAGTCTCCTGAAAATTGGTAATTTCAAAATATCGTAAACGCCTTATATTGTATGGAACATTGAAACAAATACTGGGTTAGGTTTAAAGTTAGCCAAACGTCCACAAGGACACCTACTTTCCACATCAAATTCAACATTTGTCAGCAAATAAAAACTTAAGCAAATGAAAAACAACTGTGACTGCACAGAAAGAAAATAAGGCCACATCAATATCAGAGTGTTAATGGGTAGTGATGGTCTCGAACAAAACCACATGGTAAAAATGCTTAAAACTGATGAAATTGAAATGTGCTTGTTACAGAAACAATATTGTTGGGAAAACTGAAACAACAATAAAAACAACAACAGAACTATCAGCATGCTGTTAAAAATGAATAACTTGAATGTTTCGCTAGGGTTTTTATTAACCAAATCATTATTAAATAGAGGTAGGATCTTTTTGACATTACACTATCTGTTGTGTCGACACGTTAACTGGTAATCAGAAAGTAGATTCTAGTACCAGCACTACGTTTCCATCCTGTCAATTGAACCAGACTGGCTACAATGTCTCATTAAAGCCTATTTTAAGCTGCCTCTACATGGTAATATAGCTTTCTTAACAATACTTCTCTATCTACTCCATTCTGTAACAGATTTTCATCTGTTTATGCATTCTATCATTCTCTCAACATTTGATACTGAATTGTAGCTGCATGCTAACTTTGTATGAAAGGTCTGTCCCATTCTTTAAAGTACGAGCAATGCCTACAGAACAATATGCACAAAATATCAAAATTTTCTCAAAACATAACTTAGTATATCTAGCTGATTTCTCCGAACAGAACTTAAAGTTAGGCGGACTAATGCTTTTCTAAGAACATATAAGCAGGTTTACATTTTGGAATAATATATTTCATTCCTACATTTGTAAATAGAGAACCTAAAATAGAGAACCTACTTAATTCACAAAACCTTTAAAAAGTCCAGTTTCCCTGAGTAATTTTGAATGCATGATAATGCTGCCTTAGAGGTTTGCGTCACCTGGAAACGAGTTAGTCCATCAACTGAATTCCACTCAAACAACATTAAAACATTGGGTGACACATTGAAAACCAAATAAAACTGTGAGTATTATGGGATAGGTTGTATCCACTTAAAACAAGGAACTAAGTGTAATAAAATAAGGAACATACATTTCGACTCACGATGATGCCGCGGGGGTCACAGTTGCCAGAGTTATATAGACACTTGTTTTCATAGATACACCAGTCACATGACCATCGATTGTCTGTACAGGGACTGCAGCTGTTAAATAAATAACAACAACTCATTAACAGGAAAAAATACAGGTAACACAACAAAACTAAAGGTAAAATACAGGTAACACAGGTAAACTAACGGCAAAGTACAGGTAAAAAACACATATAAACGAAGTAAACTGAATGTAAACCACAAATGATACAGGTAAACTAGAGGTAAAAACAGAATTAACATGCATGAAATACAGGTAACAAAGCTTAACTAAAGATAAAATACAGGGAACATACATTTAAGCCAAAGGTAAATACAGGTAACATGGTACGTCTATAAGGTTTTCGTATGTCCACAGTATAAGAGGAATGAATATTTTCACAGAAGTTAAAATGTTCTCCTGTTCACACTATGTCATGCTAACTGCCACTACTACAGTATGTACAAAGGAACTCGGTTGATATAATTTCTACAACCTTATCCATTTAATTAAACCTGGTTTTTACCTTTTGAAGGATTCACAGTTGTAGAAGGTAAAGTTCTTGGACACAAACAGTTTACCAGTCTCTGTCGAGTTGATGGAGAGTTTGATGTCTCGATGTCCTGGAAGCATGCAAAGCAAAAATCAGTAAAACAATATTATGCTATAAGTTTGTTATCATTGTCAGATAGTCTAGTAAAATACCTCAGGACACCACCGCGGATTGTCAGACAATCTACTGTACCTGCTTCTCCAAACAGGAGGACAAAGTTGGTGACATTTGGAGTCTGACAGGTCAGCCCGTAGGACCATCTCTCAGCGGGGACTGACCAGGGGCCAGCGTCCAGAGCAAAAACACAGCTGTAGTTGGTCATTCTGGGTAGCTTCAGGATGGACAAATGGACCTGTGGATCAGAAATATCATCAATGTATTCAAATAGAATTATTTCAGGACAGATTCAACTTTGACCCCTACTATAACCCTAGGGTTCCCATCTGAACATATCACTAGATCATGATCATGTGAAAGACCAAAGTGCAAAATTTGAGATTTTTAGGAATATTGTAAACTTTCCACTTTTTGTCTCTTTATAGGCCTTTGAACTTAATCATTCATATGCATATGATACCTGGTGTTTGTGATAAAATACAACAAGTTCCTTTTAGAAAGAAATATCTGTAACAAAATTGTAGGATGGACCGATGCAATGACAAAACATGAAGGACATACTTGGGCATGAACCTTGCACATGTCTTCTCACACTGATTAGAGAACTACCAATACCGAGATTCATATATATATACAGCGAAAATCAAGACAAGAAATTGCTTTTATAGCGACCTCTAAAACAATATATCAATACAGCATTATTGAGCTTCACACATGCACAACTAAACTAAAATTTACTCATATGTTAATTATTCCATAGGTGTCAGCCTCTGTATAACCTCCAATGAGGGAGATCTCCTTCATTCCCCATTTCCAGTGAGGGAGAAAGTGTGTGAAATGCTACTGAAACGGCTTTGCCCAATTTTTCTTTACCTTTTTATGTGTCAAAATAACTCCAAAAAGCATTCATTTGATTCAGAAACACCTGCTATGATCATTACACACACCCTACAGTAACTAGGAGATCATTTGACCAGAGGATGCAGATTTTGAATTTGTGTGAGTTTGGACTTGAATAAGGGATTTTCGAGGGAGATTGGTTAATTTTGGTCAAAATGAGGGAGTCTCCCTCCTAGCTATGTTATTCAATACTACCTCAGTATTTCTCCATGTTTACTCCTATACCAACCAATCAGAAAAGGGAACTCCGATAAATAAACAACTAAAACCAACTACTTTACGAAACTTATATGGAAAGACCATATCACAAGGGGATTTTGTCCCTTTTCATCTGTGATGAGCCCATTTGGTTTGGCCATAACAAAGTAGGTTAGACACTCGAGGGCTTATTCCAGAGTCAAAGATTCCCTTTTTTCAGTTGATTGATTGATTGATTGACTAGTGTTTTACCCTTTCACCACTGTAGATCATAATGGACTCATCCATATCAATGCATGGTAGTGTCTACTTAAGTTACATAGGGGTGAAAGGGTTAACATCATTGCAACAAAATAATACTCATCTATCTGTTTTACAAGGAACCGGCTTGATACAAAGCAATAGGCTTGTAATTGGTAAAATATTGGATTCTCACAGTTACCTAGACATTGTACGAGTTAGCTAAGGATGCAGGCTAACAAGGTGACTTGTACTCATAACCCTATTCCTCAATAAGTGTCTGTTCTAATGTTCCAATATGTTTACAATGTGTCGGACACAACAGATAATAATCTTTTTATTGGTCGCAACTAATTAAATGCTTCGATGATTACCTCAGCATGAAGATTAAATACAGACACATACCAAAAACTCATCAGGCCCAAAGTGACCAATTTCTCAACAACGTAATTAAAGCGATATCTGTGTACCGTTTTAGTGCAGCCTGCCCTCTATGTATTATAAATGATGCTTCAAGGGAGATAACCCCATTACCTGCATAATACCAGAAATAAATGGATGTAAACGTCTTCAAATTGGCTACCATAATACCCCTCGTCATATATGACCGCTAATCACTTAAACACGTGTCTGAAAATTAACTTTTTATCTCTCATTCAAAAGATGGTTTGAGCTTTCCATTTGGCAGCCGTTTTTGTTGAAATTCATCACTCTTTTTTTACCCCCCCGGTACATGTAACAAGAAAGATACTTAACTCTCCAAATGTGAGTTAAGGCACAGCTACCAGCCTCAGTACTGGAAAACAGCCAATCTGGGCCTTTTAGAGATTAAAACTAGCAAATTATATGATGTGCAGTCTCCAATTTCTTATGAGATCAGGCATATTTTTACTGACGATTCACATAAGGGATTCTCTTCTGCCATCAGGATCAAGAAGTTTTATGTATCAGACTGATATATTAGTCAATAGAAAGATAACATATTAAATGAAGTTCAGTGTTAGCTGTAGGATATTACCAGGGTATATACCGAGGTATATTGAATAGAGAATTAAGGTTAGTTAATAAAGAGGTTTGTATGATGGGCAAGCACACTGATGAGGTGAGAGAAGTCTCATGCAGACAAACTAAATTTATTACGGAAATTCACATGCTGGAATCAGATGTAAGGAATTAAATGTCTGTTATACATATATATATATATATACAGGTGTCCAGATTATACAGGTAACATATATATATTATATATATAATATATGATCTCTACAATTACAAATTCCTGTACTGAAAAACCCTCTCCATGGAAAATACCTCAAAATATAAAAACCATGAATAATTCTATCCTTAATAACCTGTTCCCTGGTAAATTTGTCACCCTTAATTACCTCATTTACAGTACACATGCATGTACCTTGCTGCTGAAAGTTTAAATATGCATTGTTGTACCTATACATACATATTTCTCCTATCTAAAAACAAGTCAGCATTATAGAGATATTTTTATATTTATATAAGTTTCGCTAAATAAAAAAGTCGCCTCATGCAAATTTCTAAGAAGCAGTCAATCATGCATCGAAATTGTTGGAACTGTCACACTACAAAAGGGTAGTGCTACGAAGTACGATTACTGGAACTGTCCCACTACAAAAGGGTAGTGCTACGGAGTATGATTACTGGAACTGTCACACTACAAAAGGGTAGTGCTACAGAGTACGATTACTGGAACTGTCACACTACAAAAGGGTAGTGCTACAGAGTCCGATTACTGGAACTGTCACACTACAAAAGGGTAGTGCTACGAAGTACGATTACTGGAACTGTCACACTACAAAAGGGTAGTGCTACGGAGTACGATTACTTTATATTCAATCTTAAGCTATCCATAGTGTGTTAAATGCTTCACTGACACCTACCTTAAAAAATCATTACAGTTTGAAGATACGCAAATTTAGTTGGACCTAGCTGATGGTCTGGTTTATACAGGTGTCCAGATTATACAGGGTTACATATAAATGTATACAGTGGGAACTAGTTGAAAGTCTGGTTTATACAGAAGTTTAAGGGGTGTTCTATCAAACCTTACCGTCAGTTGGCATGCTGCTAGTTTTACATGACAAACACAGATTTGCAATTGATGTAGAATATGAGTAACGACGATATAGATAAAAGGTGTTTTTTACCAACAGATTGTTTTGCAATGTTAGTTTTCTTCTCATAATTCACATCTTAGGATATTAATACATGTCATCTGTAATAATTGAATTTCACTCCCTTAAAAACAATTTCTAAATTCTTGTTGAAATATATTGGGTATGGTTGCATCTGGAATTCAATGGCAAAGAGTAACAAAACATCTGGCATAACAGTAGATATATCGAGATTTAAAATATATATACGTTTTTACTACAAAAGGTTTTTTTTAACGTTAAGTATTATAAAAGCATCTACAATATTTGGAGAGGTAGTGAAAACAGTTGCATAATTACGATATAATTGTGTGTATAGTAAAGGCAATAAAATTAGTTACGACGATGTATTATTAGTTGAACTTCGTTATAAATGAAACCATACCTAAGTTACTTAAGGTGGTCAATAATGAGTGTTAGCGTGTGATCTTATACATACAGGTACAATGTTATAGACATGATATATACCTTAACTCCATGTCATGTGGTACACTTCTGAATATGTTATCATAGATGGTGATGTTAGGATGAATGACTGGCTAACTACCTATAGCAGCGGCATAAAGAGGTGACCAGCTGACCAGTGCGTTAACCGTCCATCAGCAGAAATAGCTTTAGCGGTAAAAGTTATGAGGTATGGATATATTAACACCAGAAGACCTAACCAGGTCTTATTAGTACTTACTCGCAAAGAACCATTCAACTATAAATAAAATCAGATATCACAATCAAAAAACACATTCTTCTATAACGTCAAGATTTAGCAGCATAGACTTTCCGAGTCCAAGGGACCTTCTATGTCACGTCAGCGTAAAACCAAAGTTAAAAAGGTTATCAATAAGAGTACTTAGTAAAACATTTGACCAAAGATAGGTTTAGGGTAAAATGTCCTTAGAAAAGAGTTAACATGGTTTTATTCCTCAAATTTGCTCTTTATACAAGTTTATATTAATAGAATCACATCTCAATCGCTTGAAAAATGAAATTTTTGTCATATTTCTCGGATTATTATATATGCCTTATTTCATAATTTCAGATCATATTTTTTTTATCATTTATATAAAAAAAAAAATCAGAGTTGTTCAGAGTTATTCAAGAGCTTTTTTTAATTTAAGAAAAAATTAAATACAAAGTCCTTGTTAAGCAACTCAATCAAAATATAATGTTTTGACCATCAATTGGTACTTGGGGATACACATATGAAATGAAGAAATATTGACTGTTCATGTATATTTAAACATTGGATTGAATTCAATATAAAAATGACTATTTCATGGAAAAATGGTAACTTTTAATAAGGCAAGTCTGAACATACAGCAGAACTTGAGAACTAATTAGGCCTGTTTAACAGATAACTACACAGGGCTATTCAACAGTATAAAGATTCAGTAGCAACGTGAAATGCGGAACATCCTACACATTTCCATAATTTAATTATAACAGACTCATCAACAGATAGGAGGACATGCACACCTCCAATGGAGTTCCCCCAAAATGTCACAGCCAAGGTTTTTATCAATTAGTTATGATATGCTGTTATTGATAATATCGTAAGCAGAAGTTGTACAAAGTATTGGAACTGTGCAATTTCGTTTGACATGTAACGTGACAGAGAAGGTCCCTAGCGGTAGAAATACCGTCGAGGCACACTCCATTACAAAGGCATATACCATTTTATCACAAAATCACAACAGAGTTACCATATAGCTGTATCAAATTAAATGTTTAATTTCACAATGCTGAATATCTATGTATCTAAACAGGCAATGATTTTATTTCTAAACAGGCATTCACATTGACAATAACACAGGCATCAAATATAAATGTGATTATTTGGCACTTTTATAACCGTTGTGATCCACTAGATTCAGTTGTATCAAGCTCTGTTTCAAGTTTAATGACATTTGTAGACAAATTTTAATAAAAAAAAAATCAAACAAAACTACATAAAAATCAGGTTCATTGGTGTTCATTTTGGATATCTGTTATCTTTTTTTTAAAAAAGATGTTCGATTTCTTTTTGTTTTTTTTCATGTATGTATTATTTATAATCTTAGGGCAACCATTCTGAACCCCAGGATATACCTAGTTTGGTATTAGTTATAATAATAATAAAAAAAATATCACAGATTTAATTTTTAGATTACAGTGATATCAAGCTAACAAGGCTTTATACAAGAGAGTCCAGAACAACAACAATCACAACACTGCCTTGTTGTCTAACATGCAATAGAAATCCACGATGACCAGTACAGAGAGTATATACATTGACCATAAACTGATATCAGAGAAGGCAGTAAATCCTTACATGCAGGTTGCAATACACAACACATGACAATATCAACCCCCCTCCCCCTGGCATACTGAACCTTACACTAAACTTCTAAAGTACAAATCTCCTTCCTTAAATTTCCTAAATGTTTTCATCGCTCAAATGTTGAGGCAAAAAATTTAAGTTTGTTTATAAAGTTTTGCATTCTTCCCATTCAAAACAAGCCATGTTCAAAACAAAACTTTTAAATAGATGGTTTGTTTTCAGAAGGATATAATTTCTGCAGGCCATGTTAAATATTTTAAAGTCCTATGAAAATAGTTTCTGATTAGAATTATTGGGAATTTAATCGGAGGAGATGGTAGTGATAAGATGGGATTACTGAAAGATTTGTCTGTCTGCAATCGGAGCTGTAGTCTATAATTGGTTCCCCAGGCTATGTGTGTACGCATGTGACTTCCCCCAACACACAGTTGATACCACTAGTGCTGCTGCGATCTTCACAAACGATGTTTTAGCAGTTCTTTTCCTTTCTTTTTTTAACTCGGTACAATAAAGGGCAGCCTCATTCCAACATTACAGATTATACGGAAAGTAGACCAGAAGCTTACAGACGTAAAAAATATATAACCCACACACTTCCCTTTTGCCAACAATGAATAAAGGCACACAAAAAATCTAAAATGTCATGACCTCGGTACAATCCAACAGGTCATAGGTCATAGTTTACCTTGATGACAACGGAAGCTGAGGCACTGGGTGGTGAAGTATCCATGATTGTGATACAGTTTCCAACTTGACCGTTCGCCCATCGGTCAATATCTGGGTTGGTACATAAGCTTCGGACAGTGCATCTGTAGAGCAACACCATAAATTTAAACAATATGACATCACTGTTAATATCTTTTTGATGCCTATGCAAAGACAAGCACAACAGAATGCTGATTGATCCAATTTTTAATACTGCTGCCTATATTTGAAAAAAAACAATTTTGATTGATCTTTGTAAAAGTTTTATCAAAATCAGTTAAAAAATAAATTTGCTAGAATAATTTCACTGAATTGGTCGACAAATTTCTATAAATAGTAATGGTGGAGTTGGCCTTGACCTTTGAACCCTCAAATACAGAGCTATTTTATATCTATGACTGGACTTACCTGTTTTCCAGCGTACACCAGCCACAGTAAGGATCCTGACTGGACAGACATTCCTGACAACTAGAGTGGCGCTGACAATTCTCCACACGCAACATGGCAACCTGCAGAAGAGCAGACGGAACAATTATATCAACACATGGAAAGCATATGATTTGATCAGAGGTAAACACGGCCATCAATACACTTAAAGATAACATGCCAATACAAAACAGGACACAGGACAACTGACATCAAAACAAATGGATATGTAACATTCTAATGATGTATTTTTAATTTCAAAAGAGAGTTGACAAGTTGGACAACTGGCACCAGTTTAGTATATTGGGGTATATTTGGGGCATTACATCAAGGTTTTATTTTATGGGCATAACTTAGAATAAGTATACTGACATTCTAACCAGTGTGTCTTCAAAACTGATGAGTAAAAATATAGAATTGTACCGTTTTCTCGCTCATGGTGAACAGGTACTGATTGGTGGGGTCAAGCTGCATGTCTTTGTTGATAGAACTGCCCGGGTCAATGGTCAGGTCTGTGTGGTGAGTCTGGTCATATTCTGTGGCGTTCAGGTTGGAGGTGATCACGATCTGACGGGGAACAACAAACACAGTTTATTTTACTGCATCTTACACATGATTTTATCACCAAGAAAAGGAACAAGATTTAAATGATACATAATGCAAACAAACGTACACACCCACCATTCTTGCTTTTGTAGCGAATTAATTCATGACCACATTTCTCTACTTCTGATGTTAAGTTAGTTGGCTTTAGATTTAACCCTTTCAACCCTAGGTAACTTTAATGGACTCTACCATGCATATATTGGGATGAGTCAATTATGGTCTACAGTGGTGAAAGGGTTAACTCATTCACCCTGAAATTCCATAGTGAACTATTCCAATGGACTTGATTTGGAAGAGTTCAAATGTGTCTTCAGGGATGAATGAGTTAATGTCAACCTCTGCATGGTGACCACCTCTTTTAACAGACCACCTGTGTTAAGAGGCCACTTTTAATGTTCTCCTTAATAGTGACTTCATTATGACTTGAACCTGTATTGAGAGACAACCTACATGAACAGATCACTTTTTGGTCTTCAAATATGGTCTCTTAATATCAGATGGACACCAGGAGAATAAAAACAGGCAGAGGTCAAAGGGATGTCAAGAGAGGTCAAATGGCCATTCTCTTCATCATGTACTTTTTGTCCATTTTCTTTTTTACCTTTTTGATGTCTCCTTGGTTGGTTCCTAGGAAGGCCACAGTGAAGTCTGTCGTGGTTGACAAGGCAATGGATGTAAAGGTCATATTTTCGTATGTGAGGACAGGCTGAGCCTCCACTCCTAGGATGCCAGCTATCCGACTGAAGCTTCGTGATGGGACTTTGAAGCATAGCAATGACTCATCACTCTCCATCTTGTCCTGAGAAAGCAAGAGCAGACAACTTTTGGTAACATTTTGTCAGAAAAAATGTCTTTTAATGTTTATTGTAAATGTAGCAATATTTGTCTGTTTTCACACTGACACTTGCAGTAAACTTTTTTGGTTTTGCCTTAAATTTTTAGTAAAATAAAATGTGTTTTAAAATTACAAAATAAAAGAATAATTGTTTGTGTTCTGGAATTGATCTGTGGCTATAATGTGCATACAATTCTGGTAAGGTTATGTTGAATGACACTAACCCCTATTTATCTGGCAATAAGCCCATGCCTGGTAATAAGCCCACCCATTTCTATCGCAGACAAATGTTTCCCGTTGTCCTGTAATAAGCCTTGCACCCTCTACTTTTGAGTCAATGATAATGTGTTGGTCCTCTATATACAGTATTAACCTGTTAGATTGTCAACTAAGAAAAATCAGAAAGAATTGGGAGACCTAGCTGTTATGCATCTGGGTAGGTAAAGCAAGAGATCTGCTATGTATGAGGAGGGTAAATCCTGCCATGCATGTGGGTAGTTCAACTGAGAAACGTGCTATGCATGATTGGTAGGTCATATGAGAGACATGATATATGTCAGGGTGGTTAAATTATGATACTTTTTATATGCCAGTGGGTAGGTAAATTGTTGGTGGGTCATAAGATACTTGTTACACATACCACTGCAGGTAAATCCAATAGGTATGTGTGGTTAATTTGTATTTAGGTGCTTACATTTAGACTAACCCTGCAGTTGGTTTGGTACAATGACACCCACTCTGCATTGTGTAAGTAAACTAATAGCTTGCTATGCATGCATGTAGGTGAATCAATGGATGTCGTAAAAAATTGGGCACCCGTCACACATGTCTCTGGGTAAATGGAGGGAAATGTCATTGTTGGTGATTATATTACCAAGCTAAGAACCCTGCTTTGTATGATGGTTTGTAAAAAGTAAGACCTGTAACATGTACAGACAAAATAACTCTATTGCTAGCAATAAAACACCAATTTGAAGCAAAAGTAGATTATTTGCCATGCTTTTTGAATCCAAAATTCAGAAGTCAAATGCTAGCAGGAGTTGTCTTTCTTTGACTACAGTTAAAACAAAAATTTTGAGAGGTGAATAAAAAAGAAGTTACTCCATAGCATTTTAAAGACAATTCAATTCAATGTTGAGAGACCTATCACCTTTTCTGCTGTATACAGGCCTTGAAAATTATTGTTCTGTTAAATTTCCTCAATACAGTCGAACCTCGTTATCTCGAAGTCAACGGGGTCGTGGAAAATCTTCGAGTTATCTGAGTATTCGAGTTATGCGGGTTCATAAATTTGGTATGAAATTTGCTGTTGGGACATAGCACTAGCAGTTGTTGGTTTTATTAATAGTTAATGCTTTTAATCAATGGATAAATGATATACGTATTCAATATAACAAATACAGCTATGTAATTTTACAATAAACACGCTTACAAAAAAATCAAGCAAGTTATTTCAGAAAAACGTACTTTCGTTTTTAAACGCGATCAAAACGGTTTGATCATTTTGTGAATTCGTTAATATGGATGGGCCTAGTGATTAAATGTAGTTTTTGGCTAGTATAGATCTTGGCAAAGTATTTCCAGGTCTGCATTTGTATTTGTAAGCCTGTCAAGTTTTACTTCTGAAGTGTTACATTTCAAACCGAACTATCCCGCTGTCTCCGATCTCGTAGTTTACAAATTATATCGTACATGTGACACATTGATTTATTAAAGCCAAATATGACACTTGACACCTCCTCAACTTGATGTAATAAACAGCAATTATCGTATTGTTCTTAAATCTCTCGATCAACTTTCAAAGCCATACTGGCTCCTGTAAATACATGAACCCGTAAAGCTGTCCTAGGTTGTGATTTTAACTGTGGAACTCTTTTATGCATGACCACGCTTTGTGACCAATTTTCCGGTTTGCACTGTCATCTGTTTGGGTTTAACAAATCATTAAATGGACTCGCAGTAAGTACAGATTACTGTTGATCAATATTGATGCAGTTTTTTTTTTTATTATGAATAACATGGTTTTGACAGTCCGTAAACTTTACAGTCCTAAGCTTTATCGTAAATCCTTTTCTACCGATTTCATGCTAGTCTACTCACGAAAGATGTTCATAAACACGGAATGACGAAATGTCGTACTTTTGCTTTTTATTTGTATCAAAGAATTAATAAGTGACAAAATGAAATTTGAACACTATGCAGTAGACGATGTTTTGATGTTGGATTAACGCTATTGAAACCAATATCGTACTTCGAGGTATCCAAGTTTTTCGACTTTTCAGGGTTCAAATTATTAGAGTTTTATTTACTAAGATAAAGAAGAGATTGGGCCGGGACCAGAGAAATACTTCGAGATAAACGGGGTCTTCGAGTTAACAGAGTATGAAATAACGAGGTTTGACTGTATGTGTAATTGTTATATGTTGCTGGCTTTTGTAAGGAGTTAGAACATTCTGAAATGACACCTAGTAATGTTTCAGAAATCATTACCAGCAGAGCAGTGGATAATCTCCTTGCTTTATAATCCCTGTAGCAGCATGCTAATTTTTGCAATGATTTGACAGTATACAGACATTTACAATAACGATGAGCATATTTGTCATCAGGTCCATTAGATAAACTGTTTGATCAATACTTGAGATGCACATTGTCTCATCTTCATCAGACAAATGATCAGTCATCGAGGTAAAAACAGTCCAACAGGCAATGATCTGAAACCCACACCAGCAACAACACTGACAGGTCAGCAAGCGCCTATTTCATATCTACATATCACGTTTGTGTATCAATAAGCCAAATTTCAAAAAGATTAGAGATTAGGATCATATCTACACGGTCTATTTTCAGTAACAGTGACCTTGACCTTAGAAAATTTGTAAACCCCTATTGCACATCTTCATTTCACAGTATATAACCATGTCAAATTTCAGAAACATTAATTTTTGGTTTCCAAGATAATTTCCGGAAGCGAAAGTGTGGATGGACAACCAGAAAGACAGACACTGTGATAGGGCAGCTGCACCTCCAATGTGCGTCCCTAACACAGATCATATAGCACAGAGCAATTGTATGATAAATAAGAAGAACTTGAAAGTAGTTGACAAAGAAGGCTGAGTCATAAAATATGTGAAATGAAAATGGGAACCTCAACCAGTATAAGGTTGGCCTGTTGTATGGGTATATCTAAGGTCACATGACGACAGGTTGTATGGGTATATCTAAGGTCACATGACGACAGGTTGTATGGGTATATCTAAGGTCACATGACGACAGTGTCTACAGATGACAGGGCCAATTCAGATTATTTGAATGTGCCATCATTCTTAAATGTCCTATTCTGGCCATGGTAGGAGGAAATCTCATCCAGTAATTTTATTTTGGTAGGAGACTAACCAGAGAAACCGAGGGGGATACCAAAGGACAGAAAGAGTAGAAAAAAGAATAAAGAAAAGATTGAGATCAAAAGTGTTGTTTTTCGGGCAGCATAACAATTGTTATTTATTCTGTGTTTTAACAACAGCAGGGCACAGAAGGAAATAAGACAATGTAAATGAAACATTTATATGCCCTAGCTCTCACTTGGATAGATATGGAGCTAAAAACAGTCTTACCAAGGTCAGTGGAGCCAAACAACCCAGGTCATTGTGATGTCTACTTGTGGTAGTACTCTTTAAGATGTATGCGCAGATGGTGTTTGATGACAGTTTTAGAGTCATGGAGCTAAGCACAATGTCTAAACAAGATATCATATGGATTGACGGATCGCAACATAATTCAAGAACAAAGAAAGTAAACTAATTCACAAAAGAATCAGAGTTTTCTTTTTGTAAACACAAACATAAGGGTTCCCTTATCTGCCAATATGCATAATTGCTTTGTACTTAACAGGTATTTGACCTTTGACCTAGAGGTGATTGTCTTGGTGACCTAAATAGATTGCACTACAAATCATCTGTTGGTTATTTTGCATTTCAAAGAATCATCTTAAATGGTTAAAAACTTACAACTCAGACAAGGAACGATTATTAACTTATTGAACAATTCAATGTCTGATGAAGGTGATTGGACACAGCATCATAGGTTTTCTATATTTGAGGTTATATTTAGGTTAAATATGTACCGTCTGTACTCACATTAAATCTGCATTCCGCTCCACTCTCTATGTACTTGTTTCCATTTGCTGAAGAGTTCCCCATCCTGCAGAGCCTCACATTGGCCACAACTTTCTTGCGAACCTCACCCATCCCAAACACGCACACTGCAGAATGTTTCTCACTGTCATCTGTAAACGTGGCAACAAGAACTTCCTCCGCACCAGGCATAAGTGTCATGCTCTTCTGGAGGATTAATGCTGGTTGTATCACACGAGCAGACGTCACTTTGTTATATACTTTGCCTCCTTTTCTACACACTAAAGGTAAATCCACGTAAGATGTGAGCCATTCATCTTGCTGACACAGATGAATTAATTTTGAGATCGTAGTCGGACTACCTTTATTTTGTGATTTTGGTTGTGTCGTCACAAAATAGCTGTAATTTCCCGACGTAAATCCAGTGATGTAATTCACAAAAAATGTGGAACGTATACTCTCTTTGATGGAAACACTTGAGGCACGTTGCGTGATAGGTGAGGATTCAATGGCGCTGAAGCTGAAGATGTCGTCCCTCGGACCTAGCTTACGGGTACTGATGGCTGGAATGTTTTGTCGGATGAGGCGATTATTTAAACCAGTATATGCAGAAGCTATGTATATGACATCATTGCCTTTTGCTCCTGGTGCAATGTAAGCGACTGTTGAACCCTTTTCAGTATCTGCAGCAATGGCATACACATCCTGTAAGGGGAGATCACTCCTCATACTCTCCAACTGACCGTAGTACTTTTGGTTAAGTTGGAGGTTATTGGAGAATCTAGTTTCGCAAGCCCCTTGGAAAATACTTCCGCACGTTATGAGCATGGGGCGTTCTCCTCTTGGCTGGTGGATAAGAAGCACTTTGTTGACATTGTCACGCAGGGATTTCTTATGCATGCACCGATCCCCAGAAGGTGGCAGATCACAGAGGGCACTATCATTCTGTGGACCAGTTGACATATTAGCCAAAATGGATAAATTAAAACTGAGTTTAAATATCCTGTTGACAGCGCCAATATATAAAAGATTATTATGTATGACCAGGTGATTGAGGAACGGTGTAGTTCTACTTCCCGACAGTGGCAAGAGGTTTACTTCCTGTTTAGAGTACACATTTTCACCATGCAGCAACTTGGCACCTAGCAACAACACCAGGCTACACACCCACATCATCAACATCCATTTTCTCTCCATGCTCCCGATTGGTCAAACACCCAGGTCACGCTCATGCATTAATGCTATCCTGGATCGGCCACGTTAAGTCATTCCGAGTCTAGGAAACACTTGATAATGGTCAGTCAGACTCTTACACATCTCTGTTCTCTTCCCTAATTTCCTCCATCTGAAAAACATGAAAAGATCACAAATTTTCATTTTTTTTGATAGATCATTTTAGTCTTCCACAAATATTAGTTCTATAGATATTTACTATTTATGGTGTGATAGCATTCTCTCCATCAGAAATGCAAGTATTCATGAATGAAACATAGGTTCATGGTTCTCGAAAATAAATACATTCGAAAATAAAATAATTTACAAACTATTCTTATAGAAACTAATACAGAATATACAAAGTCTGAAGTATGATTTTCATATTCATGATAAAAACTTTGCAAAATGTTCATGATTAATTAAGGTATAATTGAAATTACTGCTAAATTGAGAAATATTCTTCGATCTACACTCTGTTTGGAAAAACAAAGTAAAAGAAATGCAGTTTGACTTTGAGTGATTTACAAAGTCTATGCTTATTACCATTTTAACTGTCAGCCTGGAGTCAACATACATCTTGTATCATGCTCAAGGATACCAAATATGATATAATTCACAACAACACAGACTTGACAGTTTTACCACGTTTGCACTAGGAGTGTATGATTTACCTATTAAAGGGATGACTAATACTATACAACCCCAGTGTTGTACATACAGGTGTTACAAACATCTGTCCGATCCTCTAAGTGTTTCTCCAATATATACCCACACAAGCACCGAACTTGCATCCAAATAATACAATGTCTACACACCTTCAATAAAACTGCTCATTTTATCCACATTAAGAACAATTTCACTCGGTCGGCTAAAGAATGAATACTTGTAGGTATACATGTCTATTGTGTATTTCAGTTTTTTGTTTTTAATATTCTTATCTTCATGCTTGGTAAGTTTAAATCCCTATCGCGTGTGACAAGATCCCAAATGTGTCCCATTCATGGATAAAATTCAACTCGCATATGACAGCACACGGCTGTGTTTAAAGCCTACTTGTACACACACGATCTTCTCCATACAACCAGCACTTTAATTGCTCCGAGCTAAATGAGATTTTCTACAGGTGTTTCAAACATGATAAAAAAAAGGCAGAAAAGGTATAATAATGAACGGTTTATAGGCCCTGTGCCACATACAGCTGGCGTGTCACGGATAGTACAGGCTAGTTGTGGGAGATAGAAACCCTGCAGAGAGATAGAGAAATTCATTGTGGTGAGAGAAAGAATGGATGAATGAAAACACAATGATAGGCACCTGTCATTGTCAAGGCCACCGCACTGGCAGCAAGCAGCTAAATAAGTCAAGTTTGACACTATCTTATTTGGCCCTAAATTACAACTGAAAATGCGTGCTGAAATTTTCCAAATTTTGACACAAGAATTGAAAATTGAATTTACACAGATTATAATTCCGTGATCATGTCTTTATGACAGCATATTGAGCAACAACATATAAGTGTATTTTGTTAAACAAATCATCAACAAAACTATAAGATGTGTGACATCATTATGTATATGAATCATCACAAAAACCTGGGGATCACATATTCACGATCATGTGACTGACCTGCAAAGTTGTGAAAATATCATCCCAGCAGAAATATCCTGCTCTTTGGTTATAATCTTATTTCTGAAAATAAACCATTCTATTAAAAAGTTTCTCAGAATACATAGGGTTGTAAAGAATGAAAATTAGAGGAAATATTACAAAATATACTTACTACACTTGGTGAGTCGCAAACCACCAGATTATATGATGTAATGAGTTGTAGAAAGCCTGTGTTATCTGTTTTATGCGATGTTAGCCTGCTTGTAAAAAGTTACTCACATCAATATGTGACCCGAGTCAAGATACACCGGAATAAACCCCATGTTTACCTACATTTTAATCTCAACACGTGTTTACATAATTATTTATATGTCAGAGGCTGTTGTGATATAGATGTATATATTTAATGTAGGAGTGTATATCTCTGTATAATAGCTTTCATGGCAAGTGACTGTATAATGAATTATGTAAATATTTCATAATTTATGTCATTGTTTGTGTATGTCAGATGTTTTTTATATTCTATTTCATTTCTTCTGAAATATACTGGGTAATTTTTCTAAGCTGAACCCTGTGTAATCCAGACACCTGTATAAACCAGACTAGGTCCCACTGAATACATTTCTATGTAACCCTGTATAGTATGGACACCTGTATAAACCAAATCATCAACTAGATCCCACTGTATATTTTTCTATGTAAACCTGCATAGTATGGATACCTGTATAAACCAGACCCTCAACTAGGTACCACGGTATACATTTCTATGTAACCCTGTATAATCTGGACACCTGTATAAACCAGACTAGGTCCCACTGAATACATTTCTATGTAACCCTGTATAGTATGGACACCTGTATAAACCAGATCATCAACTAGGTCCTCCTGTATACATTTCTATGTAACCCTATATAATCTGGACACCTGTATAAACCAGATCATCAACTAGATCCCACTGTATATATTTCTATGTAAACCTGCATAGTATGGATACCTGTATGAACCAGACCCTCAACTAGGTACCACGGTATACATTTCTATGTAACCCTGTATAATCTGGACACCTGTATAAAACAGATCATCAACTAGGTCCTCCTGTATACATTTATATGTAACCCTATATAATCTGGACACCTGTATAAACCAGATCATCAACTAGGTCCCACTGTATACATTTCTATTTAATCCTGTATAATCTGGACACCTGTATAAACCAGAGCATCAACTAGGTCCCACTGTATTTATTTCTATGTAAACCTGTAAAATCTGGATACCTGTATACACCAGATCATCAACTAGGTATCACTGTTCATATTTCTATGTTACCCTGTATAATTTGGACACCTGTATCAACAAGACCTTCACCAAGGCTCCACTGTACACATTTCTAGAGTAAACTACTGTAGACGAGAACCTGTTTATTCTGAACATTGTACTGGATACTGTTCAGTTTAGACAGGTCTCAATATAATATAGAAATACAGGTCCCAGTTGTTCAGTTTAGACAAGTTTCACTTTATAAATGTATCCAGTGTACAATTAAATGTTTTTCATCAAAATACTTAAACTTAAATATAGTGCTGAAACAAAAGTAAAACAAAACCCGCATATGAGTGTACTTTCCATATATGGTCTGATCGGTAAGTAATAAACAGGTGTTGACTCTCCATGTATCTATTTGACCCACCCATTATGGTACAATACACATACAATACAACAAGAAATACCTAGATATGATTGACATGTGATATTTCTTAGGAGAATATGAAAATCTCTATCAGGGTTAATTACACAGTTTTGTCCCCAATTCCTTCCCTTCGATCCCCTCTCCTTTTTCTAGTCTAATCTCTCCCATGGCCTAAGTGTCTTTCCCACCCACGGCCCCAGCCCCCTCCTGATGTTTAACCCATGGCCTATGTGTCTTTCCCACTCCCAGCCCCAGCCCCCTCCTGATGTTTAACCCATGGCCTAAGTGTCTTTCCCACTCCCAGCCCCAGCCCCCTCCTGATGTTTGAAGCAGCTACTGAAGAGAAGACAAAATAAACATATTACCATGAGAATCAGCACATCCAGTATTTAGACAAAGCGGGTTATCAGGTAGTCTGTTATGTACCAGCTGTCGATGAAAACCACACTTAAATGTAATAGCTCGATATTACAATACGCCTCTGTCACGTCTCATCACCATCACTTCACAAATAAACATTGTTCTATTTGATCATAGTTCCGTTTCATGTAAACAACAATAAAATCCAGCTGATGGACAAACCCTAAATGCGTACACAACAAACAAATATTGGAACAAAATCTCTGACCCAGGAAGAGATGGGGCAGGATTGAGACTTATGGAAGGCGTGTGTTTGTGTAAGAGTCCTCGACATACACACACATACAGTATCATACAATAACATACAGACAACTGAAGTCACTATCATACACTCACTTACGGAAACCCAGACAAATTGACAGACAGACGGATAGAGATAACGGTTTGATGGAAAGATAAATACAGATTAGCTTTGATAGACAGAACAGTAATAGAATGTTCTGGGAGAGTAAGTGATGGTCAGACAAATAAAGGGATGGATGGGTCCATATATATTAGTAGTATTGTACAAACACATTGCAGGATGAACAGACAGAGAATTAGACAGATGGACAGACAGACAGAATGCGTAAAAGTCACAGTGCAGTAGTTATTATGATGAAACTTAAGATGAATACAGAAGTGAAATAGAGACAGAGAAAGGGAGAGACAGATTCAACAAACTTAAGATGATTACAGAAGTGAAATAGATAGACAGACAGAGAAACAGAGAGACAGATTCAACAAACTTAAGATGATTACAGAAGTGAAATAGAGACAGAGAAAGGGAAAGACAGATTCAACAAACTTAAGATGAAGTAAACTTATAATGAAAAGTCCTTACTGATACTTGCATGTAAGGTGTTGAGATAAATAACAATTCTCACCGCACACAAAGGCTGTCCTGAAGAACTCTAAAAGTCGGTGAGTGAGGAGAAATCTTATACAGGTATTATGCGTATCACCCAGCCGAGTTGGTGAGATTAATCCAGGTATGACTAATCCAGAATCCTAAACCGATTTCATCGCTACTTCCCACTGTCAGTCCCATCCACGAGAATTGCAATATCTATTTCATATGAACTTGTCAATATCAAAATCATTCGTGCATGAACATCTCATTTCAACTGTGTATTTCGTGTGCTACCTCCAAGTACAGGGCTAGCAGTCACTATATATGTGTAGGAAGCGTCCTGCCATGGAAGTATCCGGTACACACGCTCTTTACTTAGAATTCGCTAAATTGTTTGTTCATCTTTGCATATATTTATATATATACCAAACCCTATAAACTGACTCATTTATACACAAACTTCAAAAATCTAAATAGCGAAACCCACTTTTCCGACCACCAAATTAAACGATTTTAGGAGACGCAGAACTCTATTATATGTTTTATTAATAGAAACGTTTTAGTAGTGTGCTCGCTGACATTT